GGGAGTCCATTTTCTACCCCCTTGGAGCAGTAGCACCTGTGGAGGCCCCTGAAGCTCCTACGATTTAGTTAGGGCTACTTATAGTGCGGGTCATGGGGGCATGAATTGTTGTTTTTTGCCTGTATCCTGTCTGACTTGTACTAAAAATACCTGTGATTAAAATGTAGCCTTAACTGTCACAGGAAGTGCATATCATCTTCATTGCTATGAATGATTATCCCTGTTCTTTTTCTTCAATTTCTAATTCCATACTTCCTCGTATTAATGATTTTCCTCTTCTCTTTTTATCCTCATGTTCTTATTCTGTATTTAACCAGACATCCAGATTGAAATTTATACTCCAGCAATAATAGGAATGCATTTCTTTCATGGAACCCCCACCCCTTTCCCCCCAAACCTAACTACAAGATTACTTCCTCTCCTTTTCTCACTACAGTGAAATCTAGTTAGAGCATTTTTATACTTAACTTAGTGATGAATATAAATAGGCTGCTTAAGGATAACTGCTGTTATGCAGTGAGTTCAGAATCAAGGCTGTAAAGGCATCACCTGTGGAGGAGCAGGCTGACATTGTGCATAACCTTCTAGATCTTGGGAGAAAACTAGCATTGTTTGCTGAGAACACTTAAAGCTGAAGAGCTTGGATGTTCATCAATGGGGGCAGAATTTGAAGATGTCTAAAGTAACTGAGAGATCTGTGCAGAGCTTGTTCCCTATTTGCAGTGGTAGAACAACTCCATGAGAACTTCCTTCAGTGTGGAGTAGTTTATGGCTGTGTCAATCTGGTTGTTGGGGTGGTTGTTATGGAGATGCATGCTGCTATCCAAGAATTGCCTGCTCCTTCCCCTCTCCCCCTCCCCAGTCAGAAGGCTGTGCAATGCACAGAAGGTTATTAATGGGTGTAGTAGGAAATAGGAACTTATCTTTGTAGGAAAATGCTGTTACCGTAGTAAGAAATGTATGAGTATTTAAAAACAGTACACGTTGGTAATGTCATAGACTCTGTACAAATGTGAATGTTTAATAAATAACAGTTTATAAACTTGGCATTTAAAAGAGCGTATGCCTTATTAGGCACATTGTAAACAAAAATGAAGTTTTTAAAATGAAAGTGAGCATATGTTTTTGCTGTAAAGGTCATAAGTATATGTATGTAGGGCCCAAAACTGTTCTTTGCATCTTGGGGAATAGCATGCAATGTGACAGGCCTTCCAGCCCACCTGGAGCAGTCCCCCACCCATAGCTTCAGCCTGTCTGGATCTGCTGTGCTACCTTTCAGGCAGGGACATATATAAGCAATTAACCAATTAAACCTAAAGTGTAACTGATTAAACAGAATTTTACATCCCTACTTAAAGTGTACTAGATCTCTTTCCTCCTGCAGTTTAACATAGTCTTAGTACTGTTCCTTTATAGAATACTGATATGAAATTGTGTTTGGAGCTGAAACATTGTTTTTGTTGCCAATTGATTAATTTTAAATTTTGAATGTTTTTGTTTAGTTAGACTTTTTAAAGAAGCTGTCTAAATTTATACTAACTAAATTGGTATCCTTTACACTTGTTCACAAAATCTTCTTGTAAGTTATATTTTGCATTGATAGATACTTTTCATATTTTAGAGGTGTAGCCATGTTAGTCTGTTTCAGCAAAAAACAAGGAGTCCTGTGACTCCTTAAAGAGTAACCCATTTATTTGGGTTTAAACTTCCATGAGTTGGAGTCCACATTGTCAAATACAACATCTGACAAAGTGGGCTTCAGCCCATGAAAGCTTATACCCAAATAAAATTGTTAGTCTTAAGAGTTCCACAGGGCTCCTTTAATTTTCACATTGTAATCTTCCTTATATTGGGTTTATAGGCCGATCCCTTTACATGTTTAATGGAAATTTAGGTTTTTCCATTTATGCTATTATTTGGAATAGTTAAGTTGACTTGGTCTTGATCAGTGTCTCAGTAAAGTAATTAAAAGTTCAACTCTTAACCTCCTGATGCTTCAGCTTCTTTGTTTCAAACAATGGCATTCATCTTTGAAGTGCTAAAGATGTGGATTGCCAGCAGTTCAGGAGTGTGTATGGGATACATTAGGCATGACTGGAGGGAATGCTTTGTGTGTAGCAGGTACATGTGGCAACTGTAGAGGTGCCCATTTTAGTTGGATGTATTCCTGGACATTTAATCTAATGACACAATCTTTAACTGAAGATCAGTCTTTAATTCCTGGAGACTTTAATTCCTGGAGGGTTCGCAATCCTGGCAAGCAGCTAGTAGTTTATGGTGATTGGAAGTTGTGGCAGGAAATTCTTAATTCCCACACATAAGCATGTTACAAGAGGTAGTGGCCACTTTCAGGCCATTTAGCTCATGACCGGTGTATAGTCCTAGTTAAAAGATCAAGTTAACTTGTACTCCATAATAGAAAACATATTTGAAAATTAGATGTATACAAAGAGAAAAATGTTAAGAAGCTTATTGACATACACTGTTTTCAAAGTGATCTAGGGTTCTTTTTTGTTTAATACTATTCATTAGCTATTGTGCCTTGATTGATGTAAGCAGTGGGATAGTTATACTGGTCCCAGGTTATTAGATATGCAAAGTAGATAAGGTGTAAATGTCTTTTAATGGACCAGCTCTGAGAGTCTCCCACACCTAAAGGAAAGTTCTTTGTAGTGTGAAAACTTCTCTCTCACCAACAGATGTTGATGCAACAAAAGATACTACCTTGCCTATCTTGTCTCTTCGATTTATATTATGCGCACTAATTTGAACTATTCTCAAAAATTAATTGAATAGTTTGCTTAGGCTAGACCAGCAGTCCTCAAACTGTGGGTCAGGACCCCAAAGTGAGTTGCAACCCCATTTAAATGGGTTTGCCAGGGCTGGCATTATACTTGCTGGGGCTCAGGGCTGAAACCTCCGTCTGAGCCCCACTGCCCAAGGATGAAGCCCTGAATCTTTAATGCCCCTCCCCCCGGGTTGGCAGGACTTTGGCTTTAGGCTGCCTGGCATGGCAGGGCTAGGGCTTCTGGCCCCTGGGATCGCATAGTAATTTTGGTTGTCAGAAGGGGGTTACGATGCAATAGAAACTCTGGGTTAGATAAATCTTGCTAATATGTACAGAAGACCACCATACTGGGTTAGATAAATGGTCCATGTAGCCCAGTGTCTTAGTGCCAGGTGCTCCAGAGGGAATTAACAGAACTGGTTATCATCAAAGTGATCTATTCCCTGTTGCCCTTTCTCAGAGTCTGGCAAACAAAACTCAAGGACTTTCCTTGAGTGATTAAGGCAATTAGTCTGACTTTAACAAATGTCTTCTAAAAATAAATGTTTATGCAGTTTATAAGGGTATTTGATAAAATAATTTCTTCATTTTCTCAAGGGTTTGGTGGACTCTCCAGGGGGTACATCTTTCCTTGAAATTGCCTTCGCTTCAGCAAAGTCTATTTGATTCTCCCTATTCATAACAAGTGAGTGGCCTAGTGAAGCAAGGCCCTTTGGTCAACTTGATGACCTCTATTAGTACTTTTAGATGAAAACAGAGATGTTTGGAGAAGAGGGAACTTGTGTCAAACCTAGACCCTTAAGGATAAGTACCTCATCCGTGATACACCAAATACATTGGGAATGTCTTTCCTATTGCGCTGTCAGCGTCTTAAATTATCTCTTAGCAATTTAACTGGCAGTAGATTCAGGACAGTGTTTCTTGGAAATGTCTTTCATATATTTTTGTTCATGTTTTGTAAAAGAAAGATAAGTTTGTTTTTATTTTGATTTTTACAGTTACATGGGAATTGGGCTTTCTGCTCAAGGTGTAAATATGAACAGATTACCAGGTATGTTTAATATTTTTTATTTTTATTTTAGAAAAAATTAAACATAATTAACTTAATGGTTCTATGGTATAGTAAGTATTTTGAAATGTTTGATCCTGATGAACATCAACAATGTATTTATCAGGGCATAATACAGTATGAAGACAGTCCTTGCTATGTGAAGCTTACAGCCTGACAAGTTAATTGTTAATCATGGTTATTATGCTTTGTGTGTCTGCACATTATAATCTAGAGTGGATAAAAGCAAATAAAATTAAACCCTATTTTTTTTTAAATATGATGATTTTTATTTGAAGTAAGCACAGACTTATTTTAATAATAAACCTATTTAAAATTAGCTTTGAAATTGGCAACCAATCCTAAAGCCTCATTTTATTGTAATCTACTATTATTATACAAAAAAAAGTAAACAGTACATGTTTAGTGCCAAAGTTTTTTGACATCAAACCACTAAACAGGAAGAAATCACTGGTTAAGCATTTGGAGCCAGTCAGTTCAATTCACGATAGACTGTACTTAATTTGTTTAATACCTGAGCTAATTTTAAATATAAAATTTTTTCTTATGTATCCAGAACATTTCAATCTATATAGGGCTGAACACAAATCACAAGTAAAATTTAGTAAATAAGAAATCCATCATTGATCATTTTCTCAATAAATAAAAATTAGAATGTAAGTTAAGTTATATAACTGCCCAAATAAATGTTTTGAATATAATGTATCCTGCTAGTTAGTAAAGAAAGAACCAGATGTTGTGTAAAAGCTATATTAAGTTGGTGTGAGAAGATGAGATTTACTTGATGTATTAATGATTACTAACCTTGCCTTTGGAAAATATGTAATGTACATATGCAAAACAGTTAAAACGGATTATTTAAATCATTGTTTCCTCTTTGCTGATTTAAATAATTATTTAAAATAGATACTTTAAGTCTCTGACTTAATCAATACAGTATGATAATATCCATCAAATGTTTCCTATTTAGAACACAGCCAAGACACTTCAGCTACAGAACAAATAAAAATCTGGTAAAGTGAACAGTCTGAACCACGGAATACTTCCTTGTTCTACAAATTTATAGTACACCATTTTCTAATATTTAACAGAGCTGCCCTGCTGTGATCAAAAGCATATCACTGTTAAGAGTAGAGCCAGACATCTATTCTTCTCAGCATTGTTTCCCTGCCTTTCTAAAATAAGGGGCATGCACAGCATGGTGCCAAACACAGGTGTCAGCTTCCAGTTTTCCGTGGTGGGTGCTCAGCCCTGGGCCTGTTCCCACTTCACCCCTTCCCTCAAGCTGCCCATCCCCACCTCACCTCTTTTTACCCCATTTCCTGCTCCTCCCAGGAACAGCTGATCTGTGAGTGGGAGGAAGAGGGAGGAAGTTGGTTGTTAGAGCTGCCAGTTGGTGCTAAGCACCCATTAACTTTTTTCAGTGGGTATTCTAAGGCTGGAGCACCAATGGAATCAGCACCTATTGTGCCAACACTCTCCATGCTTAACTTTTGATCACACAAGTAGTCCACTGAATTTTAGGATTAGGGCCTACATCTTAAGAGAAATACCTTGAATATTTTTGTACAGTGTCAAAACATATAAAATGTTTAGTATATACTTGGCTCTTCAGAGAGTTTACATTTTGCTATTTCAAATCATATTTGCATACAAATTCTATTTTTTGAACTGTTTGGTTTTGTAATAAGAAAAATTGTAGTAATCTTATGGCAGAGATTGTAAGTTAGTTCCGATAGTAAACTGAACTGATGCTGTAGTTTTAGAACATTTATCTGATAAGTAAAATAGCTTCCCTTTGAGTAGGGATAGGAATGCAACTCCCATTTTTTAATACATAAGAAATAGGAGATGGAAGGAATGGCTTTCTTTTTAAAATTTGGTTAATTTTAAACAAATGTAAATAATATTAAATTAGTCTTACATTATTGTCAGACTTCAGTCTCCAGTTTCTGGCTAAGCCTCTTGGGAAGAGTGCAATGCAAACATCCAGTCATATCCAAGTAGCTGTTCTGAAGTCAGTGGTTTATCAGTTGGTATTCAAAGTTATGAAAAAAGATTTTGATGCATTTTTTTTATTAAAGAATTATTAGCAGTATTACTAATTCATGTAGTTTTCCTTTAAGCTCTCCTTTTGTGTTTAATTTTCTGAAATGCCTTTAAATAAAGTGGTATTTATTGAAGATATTATATTTACATGATGTGGGTTAAATCCCAAATCAGTGTGACCGAAGTATGAGAGACTATTTCCCTCCATAGTTTACTGCTCTTAAATGCTTTGTATTGTGAATTTGCTACATATACTTCCGTCAACTGTCTTAATACATTTTACTTGTCCTTAAAGTATGGCTGGTACAGTTCTCCTTATTAAGGATATGCATGTTGCCCTAGATCCATAGAACCCCACATAAAGCAGTGCTGAGAAGTAGGAATGTAATAGTTGTCAATAAGCAAAAGCTTATTGGTTAATGCCACTGACTGCATGCATTTAAATGCAGAGCAGCAGTGGGGGGTAGCTCCTGGACCTGGTGTGAGCAGGGAGCTTTAACTTCCCATATCGTCTAATTGCGTAGTTGATAAAAATGCTACTGACTACATGATTAGCAAATTACCTGCTTCTTAACATGCCTACTTAGAAGGCAAGGCACAGACCCTTTTGCAGATCTGGATGCTCAGTGAGGTATACAAAGGAGTCATGTCTCCCACTTCATCACAGTCCCTTACCCATAGCTAAAACAGTGAGAATGGAAGAAAGCCTTTTCTTTTCTGTACCTCATCAGTATTGTTAGATTTATTTTGTAATTTAATATAGTCACTTCTGTTAAAAGCTTTAATGTTCTGTTAGCCTCTGGGAAACTTCATAGATCCACCTAGCCAGTTGCATTCATTATCAATTTATTTTTTCCACTTTCTTCAATATAAAAATGTTTGGTACTTTTGTGAAACTCTTCTTCTTTCAGAATGACCATCACTTTTGGTCACTCATCTTAGTTTATTGGGTTTTCTTAGGGAAAAAATGGGTATTCCAGATGAGTTTGATGCCAAAAGGAAGCTAGGGATCTGTAGGAATCTGTGAAGGTGATGCCTCCAAATCCAGAGCTGTAGTTCCTTTTGTGTCACTTCTCTTGGTGTCAGTTGCTCAATCAGAGCCTCATGTGCTATGTAGTATCCCTTGAGAGAAATTGTGTGATCTTTGTAGATCTGTGTCTGCGAAGTACCCATTCTTGCCTCCTTGAGGTGCACAATCTCTATGGAGACTGCAGTTTGCCCTCTAAAAATGTGTTTATTCATATTTCCGTTGTTTCAGACTGAGAAACTTAGAGCTGTTCTTACTGCATTTTTGCAGAGGTCAACTTAATGAGAATAAGGCTTGAAGAGATTTTGAAATCGTTAGCCTTTGCAAATATTCAGTTGTAAAACATCAAACTTCAAATGCACATCTTTGCATCTCATGGCTTCCTTTATGTAACACCATATGTTTATAAAATAAGCTTTCGGTGTACAGTGAAAGACAGAACAAGTTGAACCTCTCTAGTCCGGCATGCTTAGGACCCGACGAGTGTAAGGGATGTGAATGAGTAGTCGAGTAGACAATCAGTTAATCTAGGTTTCAGTTAATCTTCTTGACTACTGTACTCACATTTCCCTTAAGCCGGCTTCCTTCAGCACCTGCTCTGCAGTGCTGCCTCTTCCCTCCCGTGCTGCTGCCTCTAACAGCGGCTGCTTCATGGCAGCTCCCCCTATCACCTCGCCTCCCCAAGCAGCCTCTGTCTACAGGGAGCTCAAACCCCCCTTGGACAGGGCTGTTGCCTCTTTGTCTCTCGCTGGACCTCATGATGTGATAGCAAAAAGCCAGGTTGCATAGTCACTGTTAAAAGGATCCCTTTGTCTAAGAAGGATTAAATTTATATGCCAATCGCTCAGCCAGTGGCATCAGGAGATAAATTGAGAGAATGTGTATTTGTTCAAAATCATAGATGATAGGTATCCTTTAAAAAAAAAAAAAAAAAAAAATCATGGAAATTCAGAACAGTCCTTACACTTTAGTTCTGTCACTCTTCCTTTGACAGTTACTGCTGGATATGCTCCCAAGTGGACAGTATGCAAAAAAAGATTAAGTTACTTCCAGATAACAGGGATGTTAAATGTAGGTTAATTAACCAATTGAATAGTTGATAGGATTTTCATTGACTCCTTGATAAGTCTATAAGGGCGCCTCTGCCTTTGAATTGTGACAAGAGCCCTGTTGCACTCTCTGCAGGGCTTCTGCTTTTGAAATGTACAAGAGACCCACAAAAGCAGAATCGCAGCAGTGGTGGCGTGAGCAGAGACTGCTTCAGTCCCCACTCGCACGGTTTCCTGCTGTGCCGCTACCACCTCTGGCCCCCGTGGAGATGGTGCTGGGGGGAGCCAGCTTTTGAGCTGGCTCTCCACAGCATTGGCTCCTGCCCCCCCCTTCTTGCTGCCTCTCTCTGGTAGAGGCAGAAAGTGAGGGTGGGGAGGGACTAGTCTTATCACCAGATATCCTTAGTTGACTCTCCGATAAGCTTATGCTTATCAGATAGTCACTTACATCCCTACCAAGTAACTAACTTTTCAGGAAAATTGTCTGTATGTAGACCCACATTTCCGGAGTCTGTTGACTGCTGATTGTGGAATGAAACTGGGATAGAAATGGGATTTGAACTCTCTTATACACCCTTGCATCAGACATTCTTCTATATGGGGGCATATACAGTGCCTGCAAGGTCACACCTTTCCAAAGAGTTTTTTGTGTTGGTACTGAGGGACCACTATAGTTGCTTCATTCACGACATTCCTATTAAAAACAGAGAAGAAGCAAGTAGTTATTTTGAAACTTATTTATTCTGGAGCTTCTCCACATGCAGAATTAGGTCCATCTTGATTATCTAGTGTTAGTGACTTTTCACCTGGGTTCATTTCTAGATTTGAAGTTTTCAAAGACAGCAAGGCTAGTAGTACTATAGTTTGTGGTCTTGTCTATTACATGGAGTGCTACTTGCTGCTACGCAACAATTAAGGATGTTCAAAAGTGTCACTGGCTTTCTCCAAAAACATGTCTGGGTCTGTAGATAGTCTCAATGTGACAGTGACTTGTTATGGAATGGATGTTGTAAAATGCGGGAAATTAAGAGGAAAGTTCACTACTTTATTGGGACATGCCAGACATGTAGGGAGCTTTAGTGAAGCTGGTCAGTTATCAAATGTTGACAATGTTGAATCCTAGATCTTTTTAAAGGGGATGGGAATTGACAGTCTTAACACTTTACCTTTTTTCTTGATTAGCTGTGTTTGGCACCCATAAGTAGAATTATATGTTCAACCATTTTTGTTGCTATTTAAATTAACCAAAGCATTTTAATGTTGGTACTTTCTGTGCATTGGTAATGGTTATTTTACTGTTTGACAGGAATAACTGTGAGTGTAGTAACCAACTTAATTAAAAACTGTTTTGGGTTGTGATATGTTACATTTAATGTATATAATAAAAGTTATTTCCACTAATTTGTAGTGAAGCAAATTAATACATTCAAAATGCTTTGTTATAGGTTGGGATAAGCATTCGTATGGTTACCACGGAGATGATGGACATTCATTTTGTTCGTCTGGAACTGGACAACCCTATGGCCCAACATTTACAACTGGTGATGTCATTGGTTGTTGTGTAAACCTGATCAACAATACCTGCTTCTACACAAAGAATGGACATAGTTTGGGTATGGAAAACAAATGCTGCTAATGATAACTGATGTCCTCAAACCTAGTGTAGTTTTTTGATACTTTTAAAATAATGTGATACTGACGGGAGAATCAAGCTGTCATAAGCACTTTAAGTATACACCAATATTTGCATGGGTTTTATACTCCAGGGCTTTAAACAAGTAGATAAGGAAAATGAAAAAAATTAATCTAATAGTAAAACCTTATACACGAATTTGGATGGGTTTGCCCATACCATCTTTCCCAGGAAATCTACATATATCTTGGGGACTAAGATCTGGCAAGTGAATTTTCAGGAAGGTCACTAGTTTTCAACTGTCACTGTTAAGTTCAAGTTTATATTTTTGAATTTGTAATTAGATATTGTATGTTACTGTTAGATGAAGTCTCATTACCCACTTTGTTCCAGACAATAGAAAAATGAATTTCAAAAACAGTGTCCCTTTGTGGACAGCACACTGTCTGCCAGTAGCTCCTTAAATCAAAGGGGCTTTATCTAAAACATGGGTGGCCAACCTATTATGGTCAAAGAGCCAAGTAATCAGTGGATCCAGTGCGAAGAGCTGGGGCAAAGTTGTCAAGCAAAAAAAACACGTTTAGAGGCTTTTTGGCCACTTCAGGCTCCCGCTGGCCGACATCAACTTTAATGGCCAGGCCGGACCGCTCCCCGCCCAGGTCAGCACAGGGAGGGCGTGGGGGCGACTTATGAGCCCGGTGGGGAGCTTCGCGAGCTGCTCCCTGGGTGGGAAGGGGGGTGAGCTGCCATGCGGCTTGAGAGCCTTGGGTTGGCCACAGCTGATCTAAAGCATGTTGATTTGTGTGTCAGGTTGTTACATTTAGAGCTGGGACAAAGCTACAAGGTAGTTATATAGGCCATCCCAAATATCCCAAATTTATGCCAATTAACCCTTCACAATATGTTTTAGCTAGGAATGTAAAATCCTGTTTAACCAGTTAAGTGGTATCCCAATGGGAGACTGCTCCAGGCTGGCTGGAGCAGCCCACTTGGGAGCAGCCTCCTGCCCCCATGGCACAATGGGCTCAATGGGGCTGGAGTGCTGCAGACAGTGAGGCTGCTCCCGGGTGCCGGTTAGCTGTTAGGAGGCATGCTTACCGGGTAACCAGTTACCCGTTCACATCCCTAGTTTTAATATCATATCTCCTCTCACATAGTATAGAAACTTGAGGATGAGCAGGGATGGGTGGTGTTGACCTTAAGTTAACTGTTACCTGTCTGGCAGTTCAGGTAGTCTGCACACACTTCAGTGACCAAAGATATTTTCTTTTTTTCATGTCTTCTTTGTTTGCATTAACAGTGGGTTAAGGAGAGGTTGGTGGTTTAAGGGGGTGACTTGATGAATAGATTTTGGAAGAGGGTTTTAATAAGGGCTAGCATGGAATAAGTCTTAGACAATGTGAGGCAATGACAAAGGACAAAAGATAAGGCTTCTGTTAGGAGTAGGACTGGGAAAAAAGACTGGTTGTAGATTTGGGCAGGAGCTTTAATAAAGAGCCTTGAAGGGGAGGACCAGAAGCTTGTTTAGAGTGATGGAAAGCTGCTGGACGGCTGCAGAAATGGGTAAATGGAATGATGATGATATGGCAACACTTAAGATCATTTTGGAGAAATCAGGGGAGGAATGTGACAGTCAGAGAGTCCAAAGAAGGAAGAGGATTCAATAGTTAAGGCAAGAGAAACTTAAGACATGGACAGCGATTAAGCCATTTGGAAATGGTGAATTTTAGATATGATGGAAGAAGCAGCGAGATTTGCTTACTGTTCATGTGGGAGAGAGAGGATAAGGAGTCAAAAGTGATCCCTATATTAAGGGCCTCAGTGATGAAGGATGGAAATGTTAATGATGAAAGTTGTGGTTGGATTTAGGAGGAAAGATTAGAAGCATTGGTTTTGCCATGCTATATTTGATATAGTAATGGTATATCAGATGGAGAAATAAAACTGAGAAGTACATTTTAGTCATCAGCATAGATGGACAACTAACAACAAGGTTAAAAAACCCCCAACCTTACAGCATTAGGACAAGGAAATTGATAATACCCTGTAGGTGTCAGATACAAATTTCACTTCTTCAAAAGAGTCTATTTTAAATGAATTTTTTTCTAAAATTACCTAAAGCCTAGGGAACATACAAAGGTTAGATTTTTTTTTTGTTCTAATCCCCACCCCACATAACTCAAACAATCTGCCCCTATATCCCCGCTCAGATCCTGTACCCCAATCCCCTTCCCCAGGTCACAACTCAAACCCTCTGCTCCACTTCTGCCCCCACCTGCACCCCAGTCCCCTGCCCCAAGACACAATCTCCTCCTGCCCTAGGTCACAGCCCAATCCCCTTCACCCTAGTCCCCTAACCCAGGTCACAACTGCCACCTCTACCCAAACTCCCTCCCAGACCCCACATCTTCTCCTGTACCCCAGTCCCTTACTGCAAGCTCCCTTCTGCACCCAATCTCCATCCCAGATCCTGCACCTCCTCCATTAATATGGAAGAGTGTATCACTTGACCACTTTCCAAATTCTTGGAGTGCTCCTCCCTCCCCCATCAAAAAATATTGCCCATCCCTGATTTATCAGCCTCTCATATTTGATGATAATATACTAAAATACCTAGTTTAATTTTATCAAATGCCCATAGAATATTTAGTTTGGGTTAGAACTCATTACTTTTCAGTAAAGTCTGGCAGATGTGCTACTTCTGCTTTATTTTTTGCCAAGCTGAAAAGTACTGTGCATTGCCAGTAGGAGAGACTTCTTTTCAGTAAACTTTCATCTCAGTATTATGGCTGCATATGAAAGAAAACTTGAGTATTGCCAGTTTATTTTGTGATGATATTGCTACTTATTTCCTAGCATTTAAAACAGTCAATTGTGGCCAAAATTTTTCCACTTGATTACTTAAGCTATAAAATGTATACCTAGACATCTATATAACTTGGGTAAGAAAACACAGCTTAAGTTACAAAGTTTTAAATTTTTGGTCTGCATCTTTGTCTGATAACTTTTTAAATGTATGTTGTCTTTTAAAAATATTTTTTTCTATTTGCCAAATATTGTCCTTTTGGCTCCTGTTACTACACTTGACATTATAGATGTTAGCATGCCAGTCATATTTACTTTTTGAAGCATCCCTAGGAAGTATTTGCAGACCTATAACAGATAAGTATTTAGTTTCTCTAAACGTTAGCATCTAGATACTCCTATTAGATCAGCTTCAACAAAAAGATCTGACAAAATTTGAGTATCTAGAATGCTCTTATATACAAAAACATTCTCTAAGAAGTTTCGTCGACTTTTTACAATACATTTTGACTATAAAAATGAGAAAATTATTTTAACGCATCTCTGTTCATTGCAGGTATTGCTTTCACGGATCTACCGGTAAGACACGTGGATTTTTCAAACCTAAAATAGAATTCTCTGCATACTATAAATAGCTGTTTCAAGTGTATTCTGTTTGGAGTACATTTGAAACAAGCTTATGCTTCTGGAAAATGTGCACTATGACTTTTTTATACCACTTTATATCTGATGGATTTTCAGTTTGACAGATATCACTGAGAGAAGCTTGAAACTCAGTATCTGTAAAAACTAATACTGAAAAGCAAATAGTTACAATTTTGCCTCTTGTCAGATTTTAGTATTTGGGAATTTTCATGACCAGAAAATCAGAGCGATACTGTAACAAGTGATTTTAAAATTTTATTTATATAATCTGTGTGCTTGTCAACTGATTCTGAGATAATTTCTGAACAATAATGATAAAACTAATTACAACATACAATGGAAGTCCCAAAGTCTGAAGTTTACTATGCTTTAAAAACTGTTTGCTTGTTGAAGGGGTTGAGATTTGGATTTCAAAATGAGTAATGTTTTATTTCCTCTCCCATTGGTAACAGAATTGTTTAAACATACTTCATAGTGCTAAGTTGGTACCCATTACTTAAATTTAACTAATCACTGGGAATGCTAGGAGAATAAGTGCTACTTCATGGCAGTGATAGATAGTGGAAATGTTGAAGTTGATTTAAAAAAAGGGGGAATTTTGAATACGAGGAAAGAGTATTGATTTAAAAAAATCTCTTGCAGCCAAACTTGTACCCTACAGTAGGGCTTCAAACACCAGGAGAAGTTGTAGATGCTAACTTTGGGCAGCATCCATTTGTGTTTGATATTGAAGACTATATGCGAGAATGGAGAACCAAAATTCAGGCTCAGATCGACAGATTTCCTATAGGAGATCGAGAAGGAGAATGGCAGACAATGATTCAAAAGTAAGAATTAGAGGGATTTTAAATACTGTGTACTTAAAATGATCTAAAAGGGATTTTAAAATGGTTATATTTTTAAATGTTTGTACAATATCCTAATTAAATGCAACTATTAGTTTTAGAACAAGTATAAGGCACTTCTTACAAATGTTCATAACTTCACAGGAACATGAAAAATTTGCTTGGTCTTACTGAAATTTTTTTTTTAAATGCATTCTTTGATACAGTAAGAACCATTACCACCACTAAGATTCATCAGGGCAACTGACTGACACAAAATTTGTTGCCTGACTTTTAACTTCTTGGTCACTAATACAAATCCAGCCTTGGCCAGTAGTAACTGAAAATGTACTGTTGAGTGGCCAAAAGAATATAGACTTTTATTTTCATTCAGTTCCTGGTAGATAGGTCTCTGTATCAAAGAACAACAGTATTACTTGACACTAATTAACACAGTTAACAGCTGTCTTAGCAGAGAAGCTGAGGGCTGAATGCCTATCAAGATAGATAAATAATTATCTGTATCCCAAAGTGTGATGTCTGTTTCACAAAACATGGAATACACATGGTTTCTGCCCCAAAAGAACATTCAATCTGAAATGACAAGTGAAGGTAAACACAGAGGGGACTAGATATGGAAGCTGGTGCCCAGAGGTTATGAACACAGAACCATGTGTTGATGTAGTGTCCATGGAATGAATATATTAGGGCTGTCAATTAACGCATAGCACAATTAATGCATTAATTTTTAATGCATTAATTTTAGGCATTTCCACTGTGCTGCCCCTTTGAAATGCTGCCACTGCATTTCAAAGGAGCAGCATGAGCAGAGCCTGTGATCACCTGGGGACTCCAGCTGATCCTGGGCTCCTGAAATGTTGCCCCTTTGAAATGCCACAGCCGTATTTCAAAGGGGCAGCTCTGCACAGAGCATGGGGTCAACTGGGGACTCCAGCTGACCCCAGGCTCCATGTTGTGCTGTCCCTGTGAAACGCCATTGCGGCATTTCAAAAGGGCAGCACCACACAGCTGATCCTGGGCTGCTGCCCCTTTGAAACACTCAAAGGGGCAGGGTTGCACAGAGCCCAGGGTAAGTTGGGGACTCCAGCTAACCCCTGGCTCCATGTTGTGCTGCCCCTTTGAAATGCTGCAGCAGCATTTCAAAGGAGCAGCGCAACTCAGAATCCGGGGTCAGCTGGCGTCGTCTTATTGTTTAACAGCACGATTAATCGCGATGAATTTTTTTAATCGCTTGACAGCCCTAGAATTTATATGTGCGTATGTGTAGGCTAGGAAAGAAAAAGCTACTACAGCAGCAATTTTTAAACTGTAAACTTCATCCCACAGTACTTTACCAAATAAAACAAATTACATACAGGAATTACTTCATTTGCTACTGAAACAGCTGCTATTTCTTAGCAGGTTTTATATCCCTCTGGGGTCTCGTATTTTAATTTTTTATATATGTTTATATTGTGTGTGAAAAATTTTATAAACCGCCTCGAATATTTTAAATAGAGGCAGGGTAAAAATATTTTCAATAAATAAATAAATATTTCAAAGCACATAATACAAAATATTGGCAATAAGTAAAAACTTATATCCAATTGAAAATACAGGAGGAATTCAGGCATGTTTAATTACCTGAATTAGGCAAATTTACTTTAAAATTAATTTGCTTAACTCAGGTAATTAAACGTGCCTGAATTCTTCCTGTATTTTCAATTGGATATTACTTTTTGCCAATATTTTATATTATGTGCTTTGGAATAACAGCGGTTTCAGTAGCAAATGAAGTGATTCCTGTATGCAATTTAAGTGTTTTGCAAGCCTCCCCTTTCTTTCATAAGCACTAAATTCACTTTAAGAAATCAGATTTTGAAAATGTATATTATGGTAGTCTTTTTGCATTTACATAATGTCAGTAGAATGTGTAAATTTGGATATGGTAGTCCAGCTACTTTCTGGGATGCATGGTTTACACACTGTTTTGTGTTAATGTGGAATTAATGTTAATTTTTGAGCAGACTCACTGGCTATGGGAACATCACAGTGAACACGTTAAATCTTTAAGTGAATGTTCAGAATATTGTTGATGTACCACCTTCTCACAACATATATATTGACAATTGTGGTAGAGTAAATCATTTTGTCATCTTTCCCATCCAAGCAGTCATTTTAATTTAAAAGAAAAAGGCTTATGGGGAAATATAACTTCATTTATCATTCTCAGTGTACTTAGATTCAGACTTTAAATACAATACCTAGGATCAGTTGTAATTCATGTAATACAAGTATTCATATTTTAATTACCATGACTGTTTCCTGCATCAACATTAATGCTAAAAATCTGTTAAAATTAAGACTTAGATCGGCGATGGGCAACCTGGACTAGTGAGTGTGTCACATGTTATAAATGAGATCACAGTGGGCCACAAGATTGTCATAAGCAAGACAGTCTCCCAGGATAGGGTAGTTTTGCTAACTATGTTTGTGAACCTAGAGTTTGCAGGGTGTACCAATTGAACTGTAGCAGCACTTTGGCTGCTGAGGTAGCCCAAGGCTCTTATAGTCAATGTATGCAGTCAGCATGCCCTTGCTTTACATGCATGTCACTTTAATAATACTGGTAGTAAAAAGACTACATGGATGGAAACCAGGGGAATCTGGCAACCCTGCGTATGAGCAGCTCTGGACAGTGGTCACTGTAGCTTTCAGTTGGTTGGAAAATGAGAACCTACTTTTGAACAAATTTTGTTTTTAATTTTAGAGTGTTTGAAACTTTCCAGGCTCTGTTTTTATAAAGTGTATTGCAATATTAAAAAATATTGCAGAAATGTATGTAAAAGTTACTGTTTTTGAAAACAATTTTTGGTGGGGAAGAAAAACGTAGCACTTCTTGGCAAAAAAAAAAAAATATTTCCATAAAAGATTCATTTTCAAAACCAGATAATTTTTATTTTTTTGAGGAAACTTCACCCAATTCTGCTTTCAGTGCTTCAATTGGAGGTATGAAATTATATAAATCAGCATAGAAAAGGAACCTCCCACTGTTTTGAATAGGTTTTAAGTTACTTGGAAAACTTCTGTGTTCTGAGAGAGGGTGAGTAAATGCAAACACCACCCTTGCTCTTTCTAAGTTGTTCTTCCAACTGTTTGGCTGCAGTCAGAGTTCTGATTTCACTATAATGACAAAATGTCTCGCAGGCCCCACACAGATTCCTGATGGGCCACAGGCTGCCCAGCACAAACTTAGATGGTTCAGTAGATTGTAGGCTTTTCCTTTAGGACCTTTATTCTGTAAACACTTATGTATGTGCTTATCTTTATGCATATAAATAAACCCATTAAATCGGTAGGACTATTATGTATAGAAATTAAATGTGTACTTGGGCGTATGCAGGAGAAGAGTCGTAAGGTCATTAGTGCTCATTCATAACATCACTAGTGACTGTACTTCAGCTGGATACTCTGTTTTAAATGGTAATAAAGAGGTAGCCATGTTAGTCTGATCTTGCTAAAACAAAAGGAAAAACTATGTAGCGCTTTAAAGACTATCAGGATGGTTTAATAGTTGATGAGCTTTCATGGGTTGGCAAATCTACTTGCTCGTGAACAAGTGTCAGTATCAGTGCAGTCAAAAATTTCCTTAACTATGGAATCTTTCCTCTTGCTCATGAGGTGTACATTGGAAGGAAGAAATAAAAAACCCACAGCAGCAAGTCTTGGAGGCCAGATCCACTGACTAAGGCTCATGGAGCTCAAAATAGCAGCATAAATGTTCAGGCTTAAGCTGGAGCCTTGACTCTGAAACCCATCTCCCTCACCTTATTTCAGAGGCAAGACACCAGCCTCAGCCTGAACATCTACTCTGGTTTTTATGTCTCTGGCATGAGCCTGAATCAGTTAACCTGAGACATGTTGCAGATCTTTTTTGCTGTGGAGACATGTGCATAGACTTTCATGCCAATTCTGGGTTGTGGAACCTGTATAATGGGGTAAATGATGTTGCATATTTTAACTGTTTGAATTATCTTTTCAGAATGGTTTCATCTTATTTAGTTCATCATGGGTACTGCGCAACAGCAGAGGCTTTTGCCAGATCTACAGACCAGACTGTACTAGAAGAATTAGCCTCCATTAAAAATAGACAAAGTAAGGCTGGAAAGTACTGCATGCTTTTTAAAACAAATTAACTTAAAATGTCTCTTATATTAAAAAAAAAAAACAAATCCTATAATCTGTAAAGCTCTTCAACATGGAGAGTCCTTCCAACAATCTTAGGCTATTATAATTCAACACATGAATTCACAAACATTGATTCTTGAGACACTAGTTTGTTAATCTTGAAAGTACAGTTGAATTTTGAAGCTATTTTAATGAAGAGGAATTTGTAAATTACCTACCATGACACTGCTGTTTGAAATATGTTTGCTCTTATCCAGAAATAAATGTCAGTGGTGTGTCTAGCCTTAATGCTTACCATTATAATATGAATAAACTGGAGTTGATTATCAGTCAGTTAACTTGAATGGTACCACAGACATAGACTTTGCCTAAGGTAGGCAAAGCGGTAGAGGCTAGTACAGGTTGAACCTCTCTGGTCCGGCAACATCTGTGATCTGACTATGATTTTAGTTAGCCAGATGTCCACTTATCATGATTGTGGCCAAGTTTCACGCAGCCACATAAAGTTTATGCATAGCTACCAATCCTGGCTCTTAGTGTTCTCTGGTGCTATTTAGCTCTAATTTATCCCCTAAAAGTCTTCTAAGAGCCCAGTAAGCAGTGGAAGTGTTGGTAATGCTGCTACACAATAGTGACCTCCCATGGTTCAGCAAATTCACTGGTTTAGCCCTGGTCAGGTCCCGAGGGGTGCTGCACTAGACAGATTCAGCCTGTACATACTGTTTAGATGCAAATTGAGTTTGTCAATCTTACGCTTGGAAAAAATCAATACTTTTAAGTCAGTTTTAGCGAGATGAGTTGTAGTCTAGTCAGGAGCTTAGGCTATAACTTAAATAGGTAAAAATTAAATTTAAAGGCGTTACTCTGATTTTTCATTAGGCAAGTGGCCATATCTAAATATGGGCTTCGCTATCATAAACACAATCTAAACTTGGCCAGTTATTATAATTCAGATACTACTGTGGCTACTGCTATAGTGAACTAGCCACGCTTAACCAGCCAAACAGCCACATTGTGCAAGCCAGCTAACCACACTCAACTGACCAAATAGCCACATGTGGCTAGTGGCTAGCATGTTGGACACCATAGGTATATTGTGTATCGGTGGAAAATAAAATACAACAGTGTCTTAATTTTTTAATTTTCCTTTAAAATATGCTATTTGAGTCTCTAGAAGTTCAATGTTTGCAAAACAGCTGCACAAAATTTCCAAGGAAAATTAACCCATTTCTTCTTTCTATGAGTTTCTTGATGATCATTGTATTGTTTCATGTTGGTTGTATTTTTAATAATTAATTCTGTATATGAATCCCTAGATTGTGCAAGCTTTAACCTTTCTGTGTTTTGGTGAACAGGAATTCAAAGATTGGTTTTAGCAGGAAGAATGGGAGAAGCCATTGAAACAACACAACAGTTGTATCCAAGTTTACTAGAAAGAAATCCTAATCTCTTATTTTCATTAAAGTGAGTTGTTTGGTTATGCAGATGTGTCTATAGATAACTGTCTAGTCTTTGGAGATGTATTAGATCATTAATGTGTTCCTCTGAAAGCTTTAGAATTTTTAGAAACTGATTATTTAGTTCACTTTTTCTGTATACTTATATGTATCTTCTAGATAATCAAATAACTGGAGTTTGTCATCAGGGTCCTGTATATTCTGCAGATATAATTTGTTTTTGCTTTAGGATGGTCTTCCAGAATCTGTATTTGCATCTAAATCTGTGGTTTTTCATTCTTCAGCACGGTTTTCCATTATGAATGTTTAATGTTGGGGGTTTTTTTTTTGTGATCTAATATTTTTAGTTCCAGACATTCCTCTTCCCTCATTGACTTTGAGGGAAATGGTAGAGTCCTGAGGGAAAAACTGTAAACTTGATTTAGAGGAAAAAATAAAATAAAACTTGTAATCTTTCTAATTTTTAAAGATTATTGATTGTCAAAATTTATTCTTGCAAGATAAAGTTCTTGCTCTTGTAGGTCCCTCCAACATACTAGTTTTGTTCTCTTGAGATTGCGTTCTGGTTGGGTACACTATCTACCAGACCTAAATGTCTGACATTGAGTGTTTTATCAGACTGTAAAATTTTGTTTTCAAGACTTAAAAAATAAACATTCAATGCAAGGAGAAGTAAACTGAAATGCTGAAGTGGTGTATGTTCTCTCTAAGATAACTGTTGTATTTTTTTTAATTGTTTAGGGTGCGCCAATTTATAGAGATGGTGAATGGTACAGACAGTGAAGTGCGGTGTCTGGGAGGCCACAGTCCAAAATCACAAGATAGTTATCCTGTAAGCCCTCGATCATTTAGTAGTCCTAGCATGAGCCCCAGCCATGGAATGAATATTCACAGTTTAGCAACAAGCAAAGGAAGCAGCACACATTTTTCTGGTAAGTCAAACTAGGAGAAACCCCCACACATTATACTTAATTTCTGAATGTCAAGAAAAAAATTGTCAGATTTATGTATGTATTATATCTGTATTCCTAGTTTAAGGTACTGAATTAGTTATCCAAAGGGAAGTTTATACTGGTCAATTCAATGGCTTTGGTGATATCCGTTATTTGCCAACTGGAAGTTGTGCATAGCTGAGGTCCAGTTAAATAAAAATCCAGCTAGGTGAAAGTAAAGGCTTGAGCAGCTAGCTCATCTCATCATCAACATCATCATGGCTGCCATACGTCTCGAAAGACAGTGGGAAGCAGCATTAAACTGGTCTCTTTTTGCAATGTTTTGTGTGGCTCAATAAACCAATGGGAGAGAGGCATGTTCGGCTGCAGTAGGTTAGTTATCATCCGTTCTTTCTTCTTCATTTCTTGTTCTGGTTTTCTGCCAAAGTCTTGTTGTAGTGTTTTTGTCCTTGGCGGAGGTGTTGACGTCAGGTATTTCTATCCATTGTTAGGTTTTCCAACTATCAATGTCTATCTGAAACTTTACCAAAGTAACTTTTGCAGTAGTCCTTGAAACAGAGTTTAGGGCACCCTTTTGGTCTTGTTCTCCCTCTGCCAGTTCTCCGTACAAAATGTTCTTTGGGATGTGGTTATTGTCCATTCTCTTCACATGACCCAGCCACCATAGCCTTCTGTTATGCAGAATGGCTCCCATGCTTGACATTCCAGCTCTTTCTAATATTTCCTCATTTGGAACTTTATCTTGCCATTTGATCAAAATTTTGCGTAAGCAACAGAGATGGAAAGAGCTAAGTTGTTTTTCTTGGCTTGCATAGGTGGGTCCACGTGTCTGATCCGTAGAGAAGAATGCTCAGCACACATGCCTGGTAGATAAGTATCTTTGTTCTAATTGTGAGCTTTGAGTTTGCCCATGCACATTTTATTAGTCTGCTGAAAGTAGTAGCCGCCTTTCCAATACGAATGTTAATTTCAGCATATAATGACAAGTTGGTAGTTATGGTTGAACCTAAGTAGCAGAACTTAAGAAATACTTCGAGAGGGTGGTTGTTTAGCATAATATATGGTGGAGTCGTGTTACCTTGTGCAAGGACCACAGTTTTCTTAACGCTGATAAGAGCAAATTGTTGACAGGTTTTTGACAGTTGGGCCATAAGCTTCTGGAATTGTTTCATTATGAGCTACAGTAGCAGCGTCATCAGTGAAGAGCAGTTCTCTGATAACCACTTTCTTTATCTTGCTTTTCACCTGCAATCTAGCTAGATTGAAAAGTGATCTGTCAGATCTTGTATGGAGGTAGATGCTGCCATGTGAGTTCTTAAAAACACAGCTTAGGAGGACTGAGAAGAATATTCCAAATAGGGTTGGGACAAGAACACAGCCCTGCTTTACTCCTGTGTTCACCTGAAAGCTATCTGCTGTATATCCATCAAACTGGATAGTAGCTCTCATACCCTCATGAAAAGCTATGATCAGCTGCAATACTTTTCGTGGGCAGCCTCTCTCAAGGAGAAGGTAAAGTCCTTGTCGACTAACAGTGTCGAACACCTTTGTGAGGTCCACAAAAGAGAGATAAAGTGGCATATTTTGCTCACGGCACTTCTCCTGTAGTTTGCAAAGAGAGAAGATCATGTCGATGGTCGATCTTCCTGTACGAAAACCACACTGTGACTCTGGATATATGTGATTAGCCAACAGTTGGAGGAGTCTTAGATGGCTTTTGCAAAAGCTTTACCTCCGATGTTAGAGAGATGTGCAACGATAGTTGCTACAGTCTCCCTTCTCTCCTTTATTCTTATATAAAGTGACGATATTTGCATCTTTCATATTATTTCATCCAGCACTTCAGAAGGAGGTCATAAAGAGGAGGAATGAGACAGTCTTTGTTGTGCTTGAGTACCTCAGCAGCTGCTTGACAGTGCATCTATATAGCATCTATCAGTTCCTGCTTGCTTGGCATGGAATCAAGTTCTTGCATTTGTTCCATAGTGGGAATGAAGTCTCCGGTTTCTGACATGTTTCATTCCTCTGAATACAGCTCTGAATAATGCTCAAGCCATCTGGCCATTTGCTTGCTCTTATCTGTAATTGAGATACCCTCCTTAGTTTTTAGGGGAGCAATCTTAGTAATGTTGGGACCTAAAGCTTTCCTAAGGCCTTCGCACATGGCTCTTGCATTTCCTGTATCAGAGGCAACCTGGATATTACTGCAAATATTTCTCCAGTACTGATTTATGTAGTGCCTGATCTCTCTCTGGAGTAGGCCTTTTGCATGCTGTAGTTTGACCTTCGCGCTGTTAGATGGATTCTTGATGTATTCAAGATATGCTTAGTAGTTCTGCTCTGAAGGGCATCAATCTGTCAGCATTTTCCTCAAGCCAGTCCTTATTGGATGACTTTTTTTTCGCCAAAAGCTTCACAAGCTGCTTCATAAATAGTGCTACGAAGAGTTTGCCATGTTTCTTCAACTGATTCTACATGTGCATTCTCTTCCCACTTGTTTTGCAAAGGCTTTGGCAAAGTCTTCACATTTAGCACTATTCCTTGTGTTCACACAGTTAATTTTTGGCTTTTTGTTCAGTGTGGTTCGATGGAATTTTTTCGCTTTTAGTTTTGTTTTACTGACAATGAGGGAATGGTCCATGTCACAGTCAGCACTGTGATAAGTATGTGTGGACTTTACGCAGTTTAGGTCATTTCTTAGCACTAGGACAAAATCAGTTGATGTCAATGGCCTGACCATTGGTAGCGCCAGGAAACTTTGTGTCATTCTTTTCCAGGGAAGAAGGTGTTCGTTATGCAGAGTTCATTAATAGAACAAAATTCAAGTAGCCTTTGGCCATTCTCATTCATTTTTCCGATGCCATGATGTCCCAGGCAAATAGACCATGATGAAGTATCAATGCCCACTCTTGCATTGACACGTCTCAGGATGAAAAGTTGTTCACCTGATGAGATAAAATCAACTATTTTTTGCAAGCTCTCATAAGTGATCTTTATCTGCGCTATTTGTTGTCAGAGTTGGTGCGTGTAGGCACTGTTGATGTTGACGTAGCCTGATTCAGTGAATAGTCGAAGAGCCATGATGCGCTTGGATTCAGCACTAGGCATGTCTATTGACTTGAGCAGCGAGTTGTGAATAGCAAAACCAACTCCATGCAGGCATTTCTCATCGCTATGTTTTCCTTGCCAAAAAGGGTGTAGTGGGACTCTTATGGATTCAGAATCGGCAAGTCTAGTCTTTTGAAGGGCAGCAATATCGATGTTCAACCTGATGAGTTGTTGATCTATTAGCGCAGATTTTCTGATGATTATGGTCATATCGTCGGAATTGTTATTAAGTCCAGGACACACGGTTCTTGCGTTCCACGTTCCCAATCTGAAAGTTGAGGTTTTTCTATTACAGTTAGGCACGTGATTTCGTCTGCTTTTTGACTTTTGGTCTAGTCCCATGTGCCCAATGAGACAGGTAGACGTGGTGGGTCAGCACCTAACTGTCCGGGGACTGCCTGGCTTAAGGAGGGCGGTAGCTGACCAGTGGAGTGTGATGACTTCTCCCACCATTGAAAGTGACCCCTGGCATCTTCCTCTTCACCAATTTAGGAAGGCTTATAACTGGTATCTGCCACTTTCTGTATTATGACCATGCTTAACAGGAAGAATGGAGTGTCTTCTCCATGTTGTCTTCTGCTGCATTGCCTGGGCAGATAATATGGAGATCGTGCATTGCACAAGGACACTATACCCCTCTCGATCCTTCCAGTTAAGCCCAAAGGAAAGGCAAAAGTCCATACATTTGGAACTGGACTGATTGTAGGAGATGCTAGAAAACAGATTGGACACATCCTTCCTGCTAACCTCCTTAGGGTCTCGGCTCCTGATTTTCTGTTTGGGTTTACTCTCATAGCCTTTGATTCTCCCGAAACTACTCGTAAGGCAGTGAGGGATTTTCTTTCAGGGGTTTCTTCCCTTAGCCTTCCACCCTCCCGGGCTAACCCACAAGACAGTGGGGGCAGCAGCCTTATTTAATGGCAGGCTGCACTTGTCATGTCACAGCGCCGTCATTGGGAACACGTGATTTTTGATCAGTACAACGGATGCCAACCTATGTCCCATCACACCCTGGTAGCGTTGCTGCTGCTGGTCCACGGCTGCATGTTAGCACGATGAGACATGCGTATTTTGCAGCAGACCTCTCATAAGAGAGGCCGCCTCCTATCTGCCACCTGGAGACGCGCCAGATAGCGGGCAGCTCTTCTCTCCCATTACCAGGGACCCATAGAGTATTTCGGGAAGCCTTTTGTGAAGGTTGGGTTTAGGCATATAGTATATGGCTGGCTATTTGGAGGTGATTGCAGGGTGGGACTTTTGAGTGAATCCCAAATGGCACTGCTTTAACCTTAAGAGGAGCCACTGTATTCCACATCCCCCATACTCTACCCCTTTTGATATGCTGACATGACCAGAAGCTAACCCCTCCTTCAGTCTAGAAATAAGCATGCGGCATATAAGTAATAGAGAATAACTAGTAAGGAGTGCAGAGCAGTGCTGTAGGTAGGAAAGGGCGGGGCTTGGTGGTCTGACAGGTCAGTTTATGACTTTCTGCTGACACCCAAACTTCATTTGCTGCTGCTCAGCTCTACTGTGGGTGATCAGGCTGTGGTAAGGAAATCTTAACTTAAGACAGACTTGAATGTTTCAGTGCTTCCAAATCAGTTAAAGTAATATTAAATATTTGGAGGGCGGACCAGCTGCTTTCAAAGTGCAAGTGGATTGGACAGAGAGAGAGGTTGGACTCTGTAAAAGTAAGTGGAAGTTTAGTGTGTCTTCATTAAACTCAATCCTCTTTCAGCAGTAGTTGATGTCCCTCTGTCCACTTTCAATTCTGTTATAAAATCTAAGTTAGGGCCAATTTCCTACTTTCCATCTAGTTTTTCCTAAGTAGAAAATGAGAGTTGACTGGCCAGTGGAACATCAGTTGTTGCTAGAAGAGCAACTACTGTTCAGGGGATAGAAAAATAGCCAAAGAACTTATGAAATGTTAAAGACATAGACATAATTTTCAAAGAAAAGGTATTTATAACTTGTAGCCTATTTCTCCTATCTTTAACTTTGAAAGTTTAGTGGGATGTGCTGCAGAAAATCTATCGCCTAAAACTTTGACTTTCTGTTCTTTTGAAGATAAAGCCACACCTAATGATACATGTATGTCAAGTTGTGTATTAGTAGTGGCTGCTGGATTTCTTGGATGTTTAATTCGAAGGTGCTTGTGATCAGTTGTTACAGAATATTATATCAAGCTCTGAAAATGGGAGTTCAATATACTAAAGTATCAAATTAGGACCTATTTAATGCACCTGCTTTTAAATTATAGCTTAATCAGATATTATCAGGGAGGATGTTACCAGGAAAGATTAATGCATCAGGGTAGGGTGGGAGTAATTTTTAACCCAATGTTCTGTGGCTTACCTAATTGTAATTCTTCATCAAATTTTGATCCTCATTAATGGTTACTTTCTTGGATAATATTGAATACACTTTCAAATTACTGAGCTTATACATGAAAAATAATATATAAAAGTAAGTGTTTGTAACAGTTATAATAATACAAAGCCAATTAAGATAAAGTATAGCCATTAAAAACCAAGCCGAAGCTCATCTGAAGAAGTGGGTTTTGCCCACGAAAGCTCATACTATACGTGGGCATATATTTTTGTTAGTCTCTAAGGTGCCACAGAACTACTCGTTGCTATTAAAAACCAAGGCAGACACTAGTCTAGTCAGGCTTTTCAGATATTTTGTGAATGGTGTATTAATTTCAAGAAAAAGCTCAATGCTTCCTCTGGCTTGTGTATTTCACTAGGAACTTTCGCCAGTGAATTGAAAATATGGTATGTAAGCTCCTGTTCTCATTTGCCAGTTAATTTTATTACCTAGCTTCTTTACCGTGAAAGCCTTATATCTGTTTCAAAGATTTGAGGAGTGGAAGCTAGATATGTGGGATTATCTGATACATCTACTGTACATGAGTAAATAAATGTTATGGTTATTTCAGTAATGTGTACATAAAATTACAATTTGTAACTGAAATTACTAAAATATTCTTTTATTTAGGTTTTGAAAGTAGTTGCAGTAATGGAGTAATATCAAACAAAGCACATCAGTCTTACTGTCATATTAAACACCAGTCCACCAGTTTGAATGTACCTGAACTCAACAATATAAATGTATCAAGATCACAGCAGGTTAACAGCTACACCAGGTGAGTAATCTCCCAAACAGATGCCTGATACATCCTGCTGCTAGTGTTAGTCAAGAACAGCTTTGTTTTGTGCTGCAGTGTGCATTTTATATGGATTTTAGGACCCAGGCATAGCGCATGTTTTTGAGTACTCACTAATTGTTCATAAAATGAGATGGAGTAGTGGGATTGAAATTACTGTCTCACTATTTTTCATTAAATATATTGTTTCATTTTCACCTTTAAGACTTGATACAATAGTAGACAGGTACTGTTCTGTTAGTAAACTGGAAGAAGGCAAATTTATTGTAACTGTGGCATTTAGTCATAATTAGTAAACTGGAAAAAGGCAAATTTATTGTAACTGTGGCATTTAGTCATAAGTTTTGGTTCTCAGATTAGCTTCTGGCTGTCAAACTTTTTCCCTTCATCTTCTAGTCTGGTGCTTACTCAGAATCATGTGTGAAGACTTTAATGGCAAATGTATCCATTGATCTTTGTTCATTTTTTTAGCATCTGCAGTTACTACAGATAAGATTGAGTGAACTGTCGATTCTCTTCTATGTAGCACATAACCACAATGGCTTTCTGTTGAGCAACAGATGTGTGCAACTCTTTTGCTTTTAATGGGTTTGCATATGTCAGAGGTGGTAATTCTAAAATAATAGATTGAATAACTGAGCCTACTTTGGCATGTACAGTGTTTATTGCTGATGCTGGGTGAGAAACAGAAGCAGACTTGAGGTGCATGAAGAGTTTACAGACTTAGGGGAATTGTTTACTTTTAAAACTATGTAATAAATTGTTATGATGACAAATATGGAACTGCTTCTTTGAGTGCTTGCAAGTGTAATTTCATGCTAGGTGTGTATGCATGCCTTGCACATAGTTGCCAAAAATATTTTCCCACGGTGACCTGTCAGGTCAGCTCTAGTGTCCTCTAGTGCAGCGGATGTATGGCATAGTATAAAGGATCCCTTCACCCTCTCAATTCCTTCGTAATGCCCATGATGGTCATTGGAACTGCTTCTCTTCTTTGGCAAGGTACACTAAAGTGGTTTTGTTGGTTATTTCATCCTTCCTTTGTTTTCTTCTTCCCATTAGTTATTTCTCAGTCTTAACTTCAGTTAGTAGTTGTAAATAATTGGACTGGTGGCATTAGCAGAGCCTTCCTCTGCTCCCGTAGCCGGGCATGTCATTTGGTCGTTGAGCTTCAAACCTTGTGATAAAGCGATGCCTTTGAGCCTAACTGCTATCCAGGTGTTAAAAGAGGGTGGGCGAAACTCGGATCAGGAATTACTGTCAGATCAGTCACCAGTTCAAGCTGGTTACAAAGAAAGACTAGGGGCCAGGTCTACGTCCCTCCTGCTTCAGGACTGGCTGGGCACCATGGAACTGGAGCACATGCAGCGTCCGAAGAGTGCTTTTTGTCAAGTGCCATGAACAGAGATCTTGTGCTTCATGTATGTTTTCTGAACAAGATTCTTTTGTGTGTCTTTTGCCTGCTTTGGCTGACTGGATTTTAGCTCATTCCTCAAAAGCAGATGGTTTTTCATACTTTCTCCCGCTTGTGCCCAAACTCTCAATCTACATTAGAATTTCTGTGTACAGTTACCAGGGATCCTCAAAATCTATTTATGACAGAAATGCATGGGAAAAGTGAGGCATTTGCATTGCGTATGGAGAATATTCCATTTGTACATTCAATGGAAAAAATAAAAACATTACGCAATAGCAGTCCATTTTCCCAGGCCTCCATTATCCAACTCTCCATATTAACTAAATTGGGGCTGAAGCTCTGGTTTCACCTGAGCCCTGCTGCTCAAGGCTGAAGCTCTCTGGCTTACCTAGACTTTTTATTATCTGGCCCTGATATTAGATCTGATAATTGGAGTTCCACTGTATCACTAAACATGTTCAAATAGAGTGTGTGTGTGTGTGTGTGTGTGTGTGTGTGTTGTCTATAAAATATATTCTAGATAGAGAAACTAAAGTTCAGCTGCTCATTTTAACAGTGGAAAAATGCAAATTTTCATTTGTTGGGGATCTTTTTGATCAAGAAAAACAATCTCTACTTGTATCTTAGTAGCTATATGTATTAACATGCATCAAGAAAAACAAGAATCTCTACTTGTATCTTAGTAGCTATATGTATTAACATGAATTTGAACAAATATCAACAAAATAGTAAAATTAACTTTTCATACCTCTTAGCACCAGAGAGCTATCTGTACTCTACCTCATGTTGATAATGTAATTCACATTGGCTGTTGGTTTGGGGCAGTCCAAAATCCCCAATGCCTCAGTATAGTTATTTACTGTGGATAAATCTATTGTTCATGATTACTAATCAATTTGATATTTAACAGGTGATATTTTGACAGGGAATTAATTATTGAGAAGCAAATCTAAGTTTTTGAAGTTAGTGATCCACTTTTCCTCCTTTCTCAGCAGTGATGTAGACATGGAAACAGATCACTATTCCAATGGAGTTGCAGAGACTTCATCAAATGGCTTCCTAAATGGTAGTTCTAAACATGATCACGAAATGGAAGAATGTGACACAGAAATGGGTCTGCAGTGATATTTCTTACATTTTTAATAAAAAGTGATGGCAACAAGGTTATGTTTTTACTTGCAATGCTTCCCAAATTTAAAATTAGTGACATAACTGAAATCTTAACTCTCCATGTTGCTAATACTATATGTAAATTTCATAACTACTTTGTCTGGCATGATGTTGATCTGAAAACAAGTTGGGTTGGAAGGATGTTTCAATAGGTTTAAAAAAATACCTGGCCCATAACTTTTGTTGGGAACCATCATGCTTTTTTTTGTTCATTGATGTCAGAAGTTATTTTTTTCCCATGAAAGCTCAACACTCAGAGCTATATAACCAGCATCTGTTATTGGACCAGCTTCTGTTGCAGTGAGAGAGCAGCTTTCAAGCTCTTTTTCAGGTCTGGGAAACTAACTCAGTGTCACAGCTAAATACAAGATTTGAAAAGATTGTTTAGCATAAGTAGTTAACACATTTCAAGATGAAGTGGTCTGTTAACACCCCTTTAGTCAATAGGGAGGAAAGGAAGTGGAGGGCAGCCCGTAGTAGGGAGGTTGTTAGTGGGTTACACGTTGTTGCAATAAGCCATTTGAGATTGTTCAGTCCAGGATTTTTAGTGTCTAGCAGAGTAATTAGTTTAGAGATTGTTCAGTCCAGGATTTTTAGGGTCTAGCAGAGTAATTAGTTTAAACTCCCAGACTTGTGTTTGAAAGTATTGTCCAGCTTTCCTTAGAGGATGAGGACTGAGAAGTCAGATTGATCGCTTTAAGCATTCACCCACCGGTGATAGTGTTTGTTTATCATTTTTGCTTTTATGAGTTCATTTGAGAGCTTGGTGCTTGTGAAGCTTCATCCACATAGTTGTTGGGAAGCATTTAGTGCTCTGGATGAGTACACCACATGGACTGCTAGAGAGTCCTCTGAATTCCTTACCCTGTGCATTACATTGCTGAAACTGAATAACAGGATCTGGTTTGCGTTTGAAAAACGACTGACTTACTCTCTTGCAGTCTTTTCCATAGAGGCTTTCTGTGATAGATACAAACCAGCTGCAAAGAACACAGAGTTGCTTTTTTAAATGTAGTTGTTTACAGCCTCTGGAAAATGAAGTCCTGGTGCCAACTAACAGACATCGCTGCTTCAGGACTTGTGGGTGTTTCACTTGTGTAAAAGAAATGTGGCTTGTTGGACTGTCCAGAATACTTCACGCCCCAGACTTTGCAAACTATTTTAAGATATTTTGGTTTTTGAACTCTGTCCAGTTTTTCTGTAGTATTATGTACATAAGAGAGAGTGTGATTGAAGTAACTAGAGATGTTTTGGAAGTGGCCGTTCACTTACCTAAAATACTTATCACAGAAATGACTGTTACAATTTGCTGGATGCTGTGTTAAAAGGTAGACTTGTTACCACAAGCACGCTGGCTACGTCTAGACTGGCCCCTTCTCCGGAAGAGGCATGCAAAGCAGGCAAGTCAGAATAGGGAAATCCGCGGGGGATTTAAATATCCCCCGCGGGATTTAAATAAACATGGCCGCCGCTTTTTTCCCGGCTTGGGGAAAAGCCGGAAAAAGAGCGTCTAGACTGGCGCGATCCTCCGGAATAAAGCCCTTTTCCGGAGGATCTCTTATTCCTACTTGCAAGGTACAGTTTAACTGACCTAATTCAGTTATATAAAGTAGAAATAAGAGATCCTCCGGAAAAGGGCTTTATTCCGGAGGATCGCGCCAGTCTAGACGCTCTTTTTCCGGCTTTTCCCCAAGCCGGGAAAAAAGCGGCGGCCATGTTTATTTAAATCCCGCGGGGGATATTTAAATCCCCCGTGGATTTCCCTATTCTGACTTGCCTGCTTTGCATGCCTCTTCCGGAGAAGGGGCCAGTCTAGACGTAGCCATTATGTATAGACTAGACTTATTTTAAAGGGATAAGTTTTAGTCTCAAAATGATCTTCCCTTAAATCAGAAGAGGAGATCTCAATTCTGTGTAATCTTGATAAATCAGCTAACTTCTCTGTACCTGAGAGTCTTTCTCTCTAAAAACAGGGATAACTACTAATCTCTTAGCTTGTTGAAATTGATTGTAAAGTGCTTAAATATTAGAAGTGGAAAATATTGATACCTGTGACTGTGCCAATTTTAATGCTCAAATAAGATTTTAAAAAGCCTCCAGTTTTTAGCAAGTACCCTTTTATGATCTGAGACCTAGGATTAGTTGAGAACTGTGCCGGCTGTAAAATTTTTAGCTTTCTCCCCAAGAATCCTGTGGATTCCTAATAACCTCAAGAAATATACTTTATGCCAGCAAGTACACTGTCACTTCATAGTTATCTCTGTAGCAGTGTCTGAACTGTTAACCTTCTCCTTTCAACAGTTCAGAATTTGCAATGCTTGATGCTCCTGTGAATAGGTAATTAGAATGAGGGTTTATTTCCTAGTAGAGAATAGATTTCCTCATTACGCTTTGGGCTGTACAAAGTGTTGCACCAGTTTAATTAGAGTCTTTTAAACCAGTGCAAAATCCTATTTTGGATATTCTTTAATTTTTGAACCTGCCTTATAGCAGTTAATTTTATTAAATTCACTTGAATGCAAGATAAACCAGTAAGAGCATCTACATTAGGTTTTTGACCATTTAATGTATGTTATACTAATGCAATTTCTGTATGTAGAGGATTTAGTAATTATTTAAATAGTTCTATAGCTGTGTGCTGTACACCAGGCACATTGTGCCAAGAATCCTGATCCTGAATTGCTTTCATTCTGAAATATCAAATATATGCTCCTGGTTAAAATATTAAATCAGTTGGCATAAACTAACTAGTACAGCCGGTCCCCGACTTACGAACGAGTTACGTATCAAACACGAGGTCGTAACTCGATCTGTTCGTAAGTCGAATTACATTCACTTACGTACAGCTGCCGTTCGTAAGTGCGGATTTCGTTCGTAACTCGGGTTCCAGCTGTATAGGAGGTTGATCGTAAGTTGATGGGTTCGTAACTCGGGGACCGGTTGTACCATGTATTTCTATTGCAATACTGTATTAGTGATAATGATCTGTCATTCTTGCAGAGGTTGACTCAAATCACTTAAGACGTCAGTTATGTGGAGGTAGCCAGGCAGCCATTGAAAGAATGATCCATTTTGGAAGAGAATTGCAGGCAATGAGTGAACAGCTAAGGAGAGAATGTGGCAAAAATACAACAAATAAGAAAATGCTAAAGGTATGGCCAATATTTTATCTTAGTATTTTCACTGACTTCACTTCCAAATGGAATTTTGTAAAATGTGGTGCATTAACCAAAGGTAGATTTTGGCCTCATTTTTTTTAATTAAAATGAGAAGAGCCATTGCAATATTTTTCTATTCTGAGGAGCATGGCTTCCCGTCTTGTGTTTACAACAGATTTATAGCATGAAGATATAAGGTGAACATTACCTTTTTAACTAATTCATAAATTAAAAAATACAAGGCACACCGTCTCCTTCTAACACTACTACAATATCATATAGGTTCCTCCTAATAAAACTAGCACATGGATAGAGATGCCATTCTGAGTACAGGGTCTGATATTTATCCTTGAAAAGCATCCGAGCACAGAGTGTGCTTTAATTAAGGGAGAATGCATACGCCTGAAATGTGATGTAATGGTTTGTTGTCTTAGGTTGGTTGGGGAGCATACAGATTTTTTTCATATAATTTATCTACTTATTATAGTTATATAAGATTGTGGTGGGGAAAAAAATTCCCATACAAAAACCATATTGAGTTTTGTTAACTGAAACTAGCACACGTGTGTGTGTGTGTGTGTGTGTGTGTGTGTGTGTGTGTGTCACACACACACACACACAGTTTCTACCTCTTTTGCTGTCCTTGTCACCAAATACTTTTAATCTAAGTCATCATTTTACATTGAAAGTAACTCCTCTTCAGTTTTTTTCTAATATTATGAAGTTTCAGGATTAAATGGCATGAGAGCCATTTTCTTAACTACAGTATTGGGCATGTTGTACTAACCATACTGTCTCCCTGCATGCTGATTTATTAAAGTGCATTTAGAGCTATTCTTACGGCAGAAAGCTATATTTTAACTAGATTAGAATGAATAAGCTGTATGTCTGTACTAAGTGGATATAGCTGTGCAAAACCAAAACTGAACATTAATCTTCTAACAGGATGCATTCAGTTTACTTGCATATTCGGATCCATGGAGCAGTCCAGTTGGAAACCAGCTTGACCCAATACAGAGAGAACCTGTGTGCTCCGTTCTTAATAGTGCAATATTAGGTAAGTCTTTATGCTTTGTGCTTCATGACATGTTTATTGAGTAATTGGTGCTATAAGCAAAAATTACATTGTATGCCCAAACTCTTGCAGGAGGGCTATGTATTCTGCAATATGTATAGTTGAATTACCAAAAAAATAAATAAATCAGTAAACCATGTCAGATGTGAGTGTTGAATACCCACAACAATGGAAAACCAACTTAACCTCTCCTCCACCCCCAAATGAACAAACTATCATCCTAGTAAGTTACTGACAGTGCAACTTACTAGGATGCAGAAGAGAAACAGAATAAAATTCTGTAGTGTTCCTTTTGCAGTAATTTATCATAAAACCCTGGTATAGAGGGTCAGAGTCCTCATTCAGGCTATGTCTACACTGCTGGCTTTTGCTGGCAGAGTATGCAAATGAAGTGCTGATTAGCATTTTGTCATGCTTCATTTTGCATAATCTATTAAAGCTGGTTTTGCACTTCATTTGCATACTCTCTGCTGGCAAAAGCTGGCTGTGTAGACAAAGCCCCACAGTATTAGTTCAACAACTATGTTGCTTTGCTTATCAGAGTTGTGTGTACCAGTGTACAGATACACCTTTCACCATTAAAGTCAGCAGAACCCTGCAGTTATCAGAAACCATTCTGTGGTAATGTGATAAGTAATAGCTTATGGGCTACCAAAATTCATCATACAGCAAGAATTATCTTTTGAAAAATAGCAGAATCCTCATGCACAAAGGAAAGTCAGGAAGTAAACTATTTCAAACTACTAACAATATTACAAAATTGGCATTGTGTATTATACATACACGCTTTCCTAAATTAGATTCATACTAACTACACAGTAGTAAATATGATAGTGTGTGAAACTGGGTAGATCTTTGGTTTGTTCCTGGATGCCAGTCCCATTCGTAATACTGTGTCCTAGCAAGTGATTTACATTCTAAAAGTTCTCTTACATAACTGTATTGTTGAATCTTTTCAGAGACGCACAATCTGCCAAAGCAGCCGCCACTTGCCCTAGCAATGGGACAGGCTTCACAGTGTTTAGGATTGATGGCACGTTCGGGAATTGGATCATGTGCATTTGCCACTGTGGAAGACTATCTACATTAGCTATGCATTTGAAGATTTCAAGTATGTATTGTGGCGTATTAAACATGGAGGTAGATCAGCTCTGCTGACTGGAATTTGGATCTTTTAATTATGTACTAAGGACAGGTCTGTCGCTTTACGTTGCTTCCTAGTTTACAGCATGATGCAAATTATTTTCTAACTTAGTGTTAGGAGAAATTTTCCATCTTTAACCTCTTAGACAACTAAGAGTTAAAAGTATCACTGATGATGTCAGACATCCAAACTAATGATTACAAATTATTTAAATGATTGTTCAAAACAAACCAAAAATCTTACCCCCTTAAGGCGGGGCAGACGAATAGAAAATGTTGTGGATGTGTTAGCATGTGGGTGATGTAAACTTTCAAGCAGGATGACTTGCCAACCTCCACCCTCATTATTACATAGTTCAATCAGTGTAACTTGCAAAATGCATAAACACCTGACAGTTTGGCTATATAGTGTTGATGGGAAGAAATATTTTTAATGTGTACTGTAAAACTTGAAATACTCAGGAGCTGAGTGAATATGTTTGTTGCTACTTACAATCCCTACCTGTTGATCTTAGTAGTTTTTGTTTTAACATGGTCTTTTCAACTTTCTTTGTTTAACTATGGACAACTTCTGTTATAGACTCACCAGTTTAACTGTTGTATAATAACAGTATTACATGTCACAGTGTGGTTACGACCTCTATTTATATAAATACCAAATATTAGTCAATTTACAGTCTTAATTTAATCTTTGTACACCTTTCATTTTTAAAAGTGCTTAAATGAGTACTATATTGCAATAAAATGTAGTGATATCATAATTAACCAGCCATTAAAACTTACTTATACAGCTGTTAGTAACATGGATTTGTATGCTACACAGATTTTACTTTGACGACTTCTAGCTTTTGAAACTGATGTGAATTGATCACTTCAACTATGTACAGAGCAGAAGCATCAAGAGGTTGTAGAAAGTTAAAAGTGCTTTCTCATAAGCAAAATACTGCTTGTTTCTTGTGTTATTGTTTAGGATATAGTCTGGCTTGCTCAGGTCTGAGCTAATGGACCAACATTAGAGCTGAACACACCAATGGTGCTGAGAGGGTGCCACTAAGGAAATGTTTTCAACCTATTTGCCCTAAAATACAAGATTTAATTTAATCACACCCAAAGAGCATTGACACTAGATTTCAGAAGAGGGAATGTAAAAAGATGGTACGACTCTGGATTTTAATTTCTGCACTTACATTAGTTAGTAGGAAAACTTAGTTATAGAAGGCACGCATCCAGAAACAAAGTGGGGTTAAATGACAAGGTGCAGCTTACGCTAGCTAACAGAAAAACTACTGCAAGTAAGAGTACTAAAAGGAAATTTGAAGTGAATACTCAACTTGAAAGACGCTTCACATGAAGGCCCTCTGCCATTAAAGACCAGTGCAATTTTTTTTTTTCATGTCAGGAGCTACTGAGGAATCTGTTACCTGAAAAGAGTCAGGACAACCCATTTCTAGTTGCAGGACAATTTGTTAAACAAATTCTGGAGCGAACTGCTGGGGTTGCAAACCATGTAGTCTTAACGTATCCTAAGAATCCATTACTGTAATGTCTGTTGAGCAACATTATGCATGTAGTTTACTGAAATTATGTTGAGACTTGGTTTAAACAGCTTGATACAGTCCTGTAAGAATAAAGTGATAATATTGTTAACGATTAACAGATAAACATGGTTCAAGTGCTAGGGTGCAGTTTTCTGTTCACGCTGGTGATGACACACTTGTGAAAAGTTAGAGTAGAAAATTTGAGGGCTGAGAATCTAGCCCTTTACGTCTCTCAAGCTTTGATACAGAGAGCACTACTATATAAAAACATAACTGAGTCTCTGAAGTTGCTGTGTAACTTCATCTAATGGCTGTTTTCATCTTTTGAGGTATGGCTTCACTGCTTGATTCTTGTGCAGGCATCTTGCTTCAAATTCCTTATGAACTGGAGCTGTGAAAAGCCTACTCTAAAAGCAATCACTACAGAATTAAGTCTCTCAATTGACCTCCTTGAATATCATTGGTAGGGATGAAAAACCCTGTTCAATTAGATAACTAGTTATCTGATTACATGGGGCAGTTGGAGGCTGCCACGTTGTGAGTTAGGTATCAGACCTTTTCCACCTTGACTGAACAAAATGAAGGAGGCAGGGGATAAGAGTATACATTCACTTGAACGTAAATGAAATTTACACAGACTGTCTTTGGAGGGAAATCTGTGAGAGGTTATGAAAAGAAGTAATTGTTGCCTGGTAGTCTGCTTTTTGTATGATCAATCAAAAGGTTATGGGGTGGGTATGTGCTGTAAGGACAAATTCCTTCCCCAACCTGAGTTCTGTCTGCAGGAACGGGAACCTTCAGATTGACAGCTGTTCCTTGCCAAGGGCACAAGTTGCTAATCACAAAAGCATCACCAGTCAGGTGGACACAACATAGTACAAAGATTACTTAAAATAGGTTTTATTCTCAGGTATGGTATAATGTACAAGATCTACATTTTGAAAACTTAAGTTGCACAGTGAGTCAAAGTTTGTTCTTTAAAATCAGTCTATAGCTGACACAACTAAGCTATCGATTGACTTATTTCTCAGGAGCAAGGGTATTAGTCACATAGAAAGCACCCCCAAAGTAAGGTTACACACTTGAACCAAAAAGGGCATAGTGTGTGGATTCAAATACAAATATAACTATCAGACCATACCAAAACATAAGGCAACTCTTACCCACTGCATGTTGCAGAAAACTGGTGACAGTTTAACACACAACTTTACTGACCATGTTTACTTAAAGGAAAGTGGCTGTGTCTGCAAAAGCCATTCACTTGACCCCACACTGTTCAAAGCAGTTACAACAGTAACACAGGAACTTTACAGACAAACACATTGAGAGAGAGGCAGTATTTTGCTGGGCAAATTTCAATAGTAGCCATTACAGGATGACTTTTTTCATACAGATGATGATGCTATCTTTGTAGATATCCAGCGCTTTTTAAACTGCTTAGCTTTCTGTTTTTTCTCTGTCCCTGAAAGCCAAAAAAAGTAGTATTAGGTTATAGGTTCTGCGGCATGTGGGGGTAGCTTTCATTTGGAAAGTTTAATTTAATTAAAAGGCTACATTGTACATGACCAGCTATTTATTTCATCCAGTTTATTCTGAAATGCTAAAAAGGCACTTCATTTTCCAGCAAAAGAGAAGCAATGTGATAGTATAGAAAGCCCTGGGACTCTGTCAGAAGATTTCTCTGGAGTACTTCAAGAATGTAAAAATCCTCATGCTTAATGGAAGCAAGTCAATTGAGTTGCAAAAAATACATCACAAGAACACATACTTTGTCACAAAGGAACTTTTGTAAAGAATGGTTGTTGCCTACTGTCAAGTTCCACACTTAATGCCCACCTCTGCTGAAAAAGACAAGTTCACAGGAAAGGATATTGGTCAGGCCCTGAACTCAAAATACCAAGTTAAGCAAATGCCATCATGTGGTATACTAAGCATCCACAAAAAACCTAAATGCTTTGTCCAAGATCTGCTTTTCCAGAAGCATCTAACAGGCATAGATTTTATATTTCTCATTTTTGGTCCATGTGTGTAAGTTTTCACAATGGATTTGCATTATACTGAAGCAGCAGATTCTAACACACGTAATAATGGTAGCCCTGCTTCTATGAACACTAGTCATAAGAATAGTACTTACACAGATTCATAGTTTAGTGTATTTAAATATTTGCAGGATCAGGGCCCCTGTTTTCAAAACTATGTCTTTCGCTTTAACAAAACAGACTAGCAAGAGCATTTAAAGCATGCCACCTACAGTTCTTAACCTCTATGCACTTCACTCAAACCTAAACATTATATATTGCGTGGAACTTAATATTTTAGCTTTCCCTTCCAACAATAGATAGTGGCATAGAGAGTATGCTTATTAAGTCTGCAGATGATACCAAGCTCGGAGAGGTTGCAACTGCTTTGGAGGATAGGGTCGTACTTCAAAATGATCCAGACAAACTGGAGAAATGGTCTGAGATAAATAGGATGAAGTTTAATAAGGACAAATGCACAGTACTCCACTTAGGAAGAAATGATCAATTTCACACATAGAGAATGGGAAGCCAGAGTCTAGGAGTTCTGCAGAAAGAGATCTAGGGGTCATAGTGGAGCACAAGCTAAATATAAATCACCAGTGTGACACTGTTGCAAAAACGGCAAATAGGATTCTGGGCTGTAACAGGAGTGCTGTGAGCAAGACAAAAACATCATTTTTCTACTCTACTCTGTGCTGAGCAGGCCTCATTTGGAGCATTGTGTCCATTTCTGGGATCCACATTTCAAGGAAGGTCCAGAGAAGAGAAACAAGAATGATTAACAGTCTAGGGAACATGACCTATGAAGGCAGACTGAAAGAACTGGGCTTGTTTAGTTTGGAAAGGAGAAGACAGGGGACATAATAGCGGTTTTCAGGTATCTAAAAGGGTGTCTCAGGAAGGAGGGAGAAAAATTGTTCTCCTTGGCCTCTGAGGATAGCACAAGAAGCAGTGAGTTTAAACTGTAGCAAGGGAGGTTTAGGCTGGACATTAGGAAATATTTCCCAACTCTCAGGATGGTTAAACCCTGGAATAAGTTGCCTACAGAGGTTGTGGAATCTCCATCTCTGGAGATATTTAAGAGCAGGTTACACAGACCTCTATCAATCAGGGATGGTCTAGAATGGTACTGGGTCCTGCCCAGAGGGCAGGGAACTGGACTCGATAACCTCTCAAGGCCCATTCCAGTTTTCTATGATTCTATGAATAGGCTTTTGGCACAACATTTCATTAGTTTTTTACTTCCGCTACATAAATATTAAACTAAACTTTTCCTGATTGTTAGCCAAACCTCTGGATGGCTAATTTTTGTCTTCTCTTTATCGGATCCATTTATTATACTCAGTACTAAAAGTGTGCCACAATACTAAAGTATTGAGTTCGTTACACTTACCCCAAGCCTTGTTCACAAACTGAACTGCAGCTTTTTTAACTGAACTTTTCTTGTTCACAAAAGAAAAGAACTGATTCGCTGAAATAAATGAAAGGAAAAGTTGTTTACTCAATCATACAGATGACAGCTGATCAAAAAGGTACAGAATAACTCCAAAATGAGTTCCTTTACCAGTTGTTCGGTTGGTGCCTGGTCCATAAAGGTGTCTCTGTATGAATTCTTTGGCTATTTGTTGGTGCTGGCTGGTTAGATCTTGGTCTTTTAAGCGCATTGCCATATAGCTTCCTTTCATTCTAGATAAGGGAATGTTAAAAAAAATAAAGTCAGTGTTGTTTAAAACATTCAAACAGTATACGTACTGGCCAACATCTTGCTACAAGAGATGCTTTTTACTGGTTTCTAATACCTAATAGGGATGTAAAATCCTGTTTAATTGGCTAGCTGAACACACACAGGCTACGTCTACACTGGCACTCTTTTTCGGAAATGCTTAAAACAGAACAGTTTTCTGTTATAAGTATTTCCAGAAAAAGCGCGTCTACATTGGCAGGATGCTTTTCCAGAAAAGCCCTTTTCCCGGAAAAGCATCCGTGGCCAATGTAGACGTGCTTTTCCGGAAAAAAGCCCCGATCGTCATTTTTGCGATCGGGGCTTTTTTGCGGAAAAGGCTACTGTGCTGTCTACACTGGCTCTTTTCTGGAACAGTTTCTCTGGAAAAGGACTTTTTCCCCGAATGGGAGCAGCATAGTTTTTCCAGAAAAACACTGACAATTTTACAGTAGATCATCATTGTTTTTCCGGAAAAGCAAGCGGCCAGTGTAGACAGCTGGCAAGTTATTTCGGAAAAGCGGCTGCTTTTCCGGAATAAGTGGCCCAGTGTAGACACAGCCACATGGTTTAACTGGTTAGTTGATTAAGGGGAGTGAGCAGGCCAGAATGCCCCCACACCACTCAAACTCTGCTGGCAGGGGCTGCATGGGCCAGGACACCGGAGCAGTCCCTGCCTGTGGCAGGCTAGGGTGCCCCCCAGACATGGGGCTGCTCCTGTATCTCACCTGGATCAGCTCCTGCCTGCGGGACTCTGGCTTGCTGTGGACGGACAGAGGCTGCTGCATCCTGAATGGATCAGCCTCTACCCGCAGGGCACCTAGGCCTGCCATGGACAGTAGGAGCAGCCCTTTGCCTGCCGCAGGAGGGGAGCTGCTTCAGCCCCACTGGTTAAACCTTCACATCGCTAATTCCTAAGCCATGTTTCAACTTTGTATTATTTTTCATCTTCATTAGAAAACAATATTTCAGAAAAACAGAACTATTTCTATATTACACCAGTATGAAAAGCTCGTACCAATAAGTCTCTTGTACACCTTTCCACTGACCTCAACAGCACCAAAAATTCTCTCTGCATGTACTGAATTTAAGTTTTTGAAGCTTAAAAATATTCCTGCCAAAAGCCAGTGCCATCTACTCTCCAGACCCATATCACCAGTTGGATACTCAAGACCATGTCTGAATAATTCTGAGATTTTTTTCCCCTGTGGGATCTTCTCTTTTCTTGCAAAGCTTTTATCCCACCATTATCCCAGGGGACTGGCCAATGCATAATGCATCATTTTGGCCCCTCAATACTGGTGTACGGCCTGACAGCCTGGTTATATGCATACCTCAGGAACCTTTAACCCTTCCTTTCTATATTTGCATATGAAATCTGAGCTCGCTCTCTGCAGAATTTAGATTGAGAGGGGGAATACATGCACAAATGCAAACTTCCCAGGAATAATTTCCCCTGTAGGAGAAGGAGGAATTCTGTGTCCTAAAGCTCTTGGCAAAAAGAAGAAGAAAACTCACAGGAGCTCTGACACACACAAAATAGCAACTTTTTCTTTGCTCACTATTATTAAAAAGGCACACATTTCTCTTCATAGGATGTCAACAAAATATACATATTTAAGCACAGGATATTCCTCAATATCTGCTGCTCCAGACTGAGCATACTGCCTTTATATGCAGAAGAACGGCAACGTATTTGCAAGTCAAACAATACGTATTCTGGTTTAACATTACAATATCATTGTAAAAACTGCTCATAACCACATATTGCTTCAAAAGTAGCACAGGCATGGGAAATGATAAAGTGCACTGTTCTCAAGGGACCACTTCTGACTTGGATGTCAGAGAGGCTTTTGGTCAGAGGCGGGGAATGATCTGGGATATATTAAAGTGTAAGTATCCAGTAATATCACAGCATATGCCAAAGTCTCTTTATAGAGAAAAAAAGCATTTCTCTCATGATCATTGAAAAAGCAATGCATTGAAGGAAAGTGTTCTCTCACACCCTTCACTCAGATGGTAGCCTGTATCAAACTGACAAGACTGAGGAGTAGCATTCAGGCTCTTGACAATTTTAACCACAGTAACACTTTAAACTGGAGTTACCTAACAACTGCTTGTTTCTTTTTGTCCTTTCCCCTCTTACGTTTTTTCTTCTTATTTTTAGACCCATCTTCACCTAAAATAGATTCAATGCAGTCAAACAATTTTCACATACAAATGCCAATCCATAGCTAGCATAGGTAGAAAGAATAGAAGTTACTGGCCAGTAGTAGGCCCTTGAGGAAAAACTATTCATAGGTCTTTGATTGAACCAAGCATTTCCAGAAGCAACTGCTTATAACAGAGGTGTACTGCTGCCTTCAAAACAAGTCATTTAGGCAGAGCAGAGGATAAAACAGGCTTTGGAAGACACACACTTAAACGTAGTTTCAGAGCTTAATCACCTCCTTCCTAAATAAAAAGGGAGGTGAAGGAGAATCACTCTTACAGGCTAGTGACCAGAAAGGAGGAGTAGTAATAGTGCTATTTGCAAAAGACAAAAGATTGCTGCATCAATATTTAGCACTTCAAATTTTGCTACACTGAAATTAAGCAATAAAGTTGTATAGTAGTAGAGATGTCCCTTAATATAGCACAATGGCTGTACAAAGCCCAGGAAATATTAAACTATAGTTGGCTTCACTCCCTATATTTCAGAGAACTATGCACTGCCCGTGAAGAGTGGGGTTTGTGTGTGTCAAGAAACCTACAGCTCAACTCCTTTAGTACTTCTAATGCATTATGGAGACATACAATTGTAGGTAATGTTTACATAGACCATAGGAGGTTGTGAAATTACATTTGTAAAACACTGAGATCTGCATATGAAAGGGTCTACAGAACTACATATTTATGACTTCTTGAGAGTCCTGCATTTTGGTTCTGAGAGGGTGAAATTTCTCATTTGTTTCTACAGTGCCATGAGAATATGGAACAAATATAGCCCTGCTCCAAGAATCATTATAACAAGCGTATTAATAAAGGCTGTTTTTATGGTTGTGGTCATTCCTGAGAATTATAATATACAAATACAAACGAATGCCGTGCACAGTTGTGTCACTCAGCAAAACCTGGTTGTCTTCCAACATCCAGTGATTCTCCTCTTTTAGGGTGCATCTACACTGTACCCGTAGTTCGAAAAAAGCTATGCAATTTGAGCCATGCAAATTGCGCAGCTTATTTAGAGTTAATTTTGAAATAGCTTATTTTGTAATTTGGCACTGTGTAAAATTTCAACATAAACCGCTATTCTGAAACTTCCCCTTAATCCTCATGGAACAAGGTATAAAGGGATGTCAGAATAGCAAGCCTGTTATATTTTGAAATAATGGGCTGGTTTCAAAGACATGGAAAAGCTATTTTGGGATCCCGTAAGTATCCCGAAATAGCACCACAGTGTAGATGTACCCTGATTTGGGCTGTCTAGCTCTCCAGGATCTTTGGTCTATGCTAAGTTTCTTCAACCAATACTGAGTATTTTAAATCAAGCACTTGCCCAGCAAGCCTCAACACACAGGACATAGAATTAGGGCCAACTCTGATAATTCAAGAAGAATGGCAGGTCAGAGAGGAAGTTAGAAGTGCTAGGCTACAGCAATCAGCAACTGTTAAATTCAAGTTTCACTATCCCACGTTTGTAGTGTCACAAAACAATGTTACTGCACTAGATCTAGCAGAGAATGGACATCACAAAGATAAATTAATATTAAACAGAAGTTTGCATCTTACCTTGTTTGATTGTTTCAGACTGTTTATTGTTTCTGAGGAAAGAATGAGAACGTTTGTTAAAATTAAACTTTTAGGAAAGCACCCATCAGTGTCTGGTTATTCACACTTATAATACTTGAAATATCTATAATTCCTTAAAATATTTACAGAGTCTTAAATAGAATACAGACTTTTATACAAAGACTAGAAGGGAATTGGAACAATCTAGGTTATGTATTGGTGACCTTGCTAGAACTTTGTCTTAGTGTCAAGTATGCTGCTGAATGTTCAAAAATACCTTCAACAGCAAGCTACAATAGCACATGCACAATCCTGTTTTTGTCATAAACCATCCTCTTGTAACACTGTTCATTAATAATGACACATATACATGGAGAATCTAAGCAAGGTGACATTTTTACATAGCTAATTTTCAGATTGTTGTAACTATGTCCGGAAAGATATAATGTGAATAGAATTAGAAAAGCAAGTATGAAAATACAGACTTGGAAATACAGTACTGTACAGTTATAGGAGAGAACAATGCATTCTATTCTTTCTTACCCATCAAAGTTCCATCCACAGATTTTTTTTTTATTACTGCTGATTTTTTTTTTTTGGGCAACCAAAAAATACAGAAGAGTCCTATTAAATTTAGGGCACGGTTTTGGCACATTAGGGCACTACTTATACTTACTTATTTTGTTGTTCTGAAATTAACTCCTCTAGAACATTTTCAGGAAGTAATTTTCTTTTCTAAAGAAAAGTAAGAGAATGCATTAGTGGCTAAAATATTTGGTTTATTGAACTTTCCCTTTTACGGCAGTATTTGATGGCTGTTCTATGTATTTTTGAACTTGAGAAAATACCAATGTCAAAAACTACTCAAAAAATTTAGTTAACCTCAACTCCTGGTTAAAAAAAACCCCATGTGAACTGGGGGAAAAAGTGGATTATTCTTACAGGCTTCACCAGCAAATTCAGTCTTCTCAAGTACAAATATTCTAGCTGTAGGTAGATTGTGCAGATGTTTAAAATATGTTCATGTGGGTCTCAGGGCTTGGCTGCTGATAGCAGGCTTGAATAGAGACATGGGTTCTGACTTGTTCCTAATGTTCAGGGAACTGAGATGCTCTGCTGAACTCCTTGAAGAAAAAAATAAGTGGTGGTAGATGGCAGCTACCCAGCTTGCTCACCTCTTGAATTCAGATAGCCATAAATTTTGTAAATCTTGGTACAGTAGATTCTGCTAACTAGCAACCCCACAGCTGCCAGCAAAAAGTTGCCACTATATAGTAAGGAGCAAGCAGGTTTGTGAGGCTGCAGCCAGGAAAGCAAGCGCTAAAATGTATTTCTTCTAACTGCTCCCTGCAAACCTGCCTCAGGTAAGGCAGCATGGAGAAGGGTGCTGGAGACCTAGGGGCTAAACAATACTGGCTCCCCCAGCACTCTCCAGAAATCAGGGCTCAACAGGGTACAATTTGGAGAATGCAGAGATACACCATGCACAGCCCTGGCATCTGGGCTGCAGCCCCATCTTCACAGTTGCCTCTTCTCCCTTTCCCTCCCAGTCTATAGGCCCTTATGCCTGGGCACTCCCTCTGCGTAGGCTGGGGTGCGTAGCTGCCGCAAGGAAAGGTACATCCCGGTGCTCTCTTCCCTGGCTGTAGTCCTTCAAACCTGTGTATGGTGGGTTCTTAGGGCTTCCTTCCTTACCTGCAGCCAAGGTCTTTTCACCAAATGGCACATGGCTGCCACTAGCCAAAACCCATTCATGTAAATATATGGGGCAGGATTAACCGGATATTAACCAGAAATCATTAATACACTGGCCGCACATTAATAGCCGAGTGATAAAGGCTTCTTCACTCTTACACTGTCATGGGAAACATGGTGCTTGAGCAAGGGGTCAGCACCTCCCCCACTCTGCAGGGTGACTCAGCATCCAGGCTCATGAGAAACAAGGGCACCTCTTGGCCTATAGGTTATATCGCTCTTGCAGTAGCAAGGCAGCTGTAGTGAACAGCACCTGTGATCAGAGCACAAGGTGACCAAAGTTCCCCCTCTTTACCTTCTGCTCTTTGAACAACTCTTCTCGTCGCCGCCGCTTCTCTTTCAGCAGCTCTCGGTCCCTGTGGGGAGGAGAGAACAAATAGGTCAACACTGGTGTAATCGCCCCATCATAATTTTCTGCCTATGCCTTTCTCCATCTTTGGATCAGAGGTGACAAATTGTGATGGATGCAGATATGCCTGTCACAATCTACTCTTCCTTTCTCCATCCTCTGGTCCAGTGGTAGCAAGTTGTGAGGGATAAGGGTTGACTTCTTGTTTCCGGTCTCCAGATTCAGGGGGCAGCCAGCTGTGATAAATTTGTCACTATTTGCTACCATCCTGAATGAAGATGGTATTTAGAGAGGTCAATGGTTAACTGGTAAGCATCACCTTTAACAGACACCCCCATTATCACATACATTGATCAAGTTTTTAAACCACAATTTGCACTTCTCTATTGCCCCCTCATTAAAAAGTATTGCCCACCCATGCCCTATACAATGAATAGAGAAAGAGCGCCACCTCAGAGTGGGATCCACAAAAGCTAGCATGTTAGGCAGGCATCTGTTAAGCTAACCAGTGGGAGATGCCAACCAGAGGGTTGTGTATTAAGTCCTGCTGCTTAACAGAGTTCAGTGTCTAAATCCCTGCTACAGATAGGCATCTGGCTCCTTTCTGGGATGGTCAGGTAGCTTAGGGGTGTCAGCTGTTTCTTGAGAGAATCAGCTAGTCAGGTTCCTAGCTCCACACAAAATAGCCAGAGGGGGTGATGGTAGTAACTGACCTTTGTAACTTCAAACCCAGTAGCTAGAGTACTCACCTGGGCTGTGGGAAACCCCAATTCAAATTTTCTCTCCCCCTCTCTCTCATGGGGGGAGTGAACCTGTCCCCCACATTCCAGATAAATGCTCTGATCCAGTGAGTCCCAACTTTTTCATAGCACAGACCAGCAAACCCATTCACAAACTTTCAGCAGATTGGTAACATTTTATTTGCATATTCCTTATGCAAATAAAATGTTACTGGTCCACCAAAAGCCCCGGCCCTCAGACCTACTGCAAACAGCTGACTTCAGGTCCGGCTGTTTGCAGCAGCTCTGTAGCTCTCGTCGCTCATGCACCCAATCCCCCCGTGCCAGCCCCCAATATTAGCCCCATCCTCACAGCTCCCCAGTGCCAGCCCTGCCCCTGTAGGTTCCTCCCACTACTAGCCTGCCTCCATCGCCCCCCAGGATTAACTTTGCCCCGAGCTCTCCAGCGCCAGCCTCCCCACCCACAGAGCCCCCCAGCACCAACCCTAACACATATGTAGCCCTGTGCTGCCTCCCACCTGCCAGCTGAGTGCTGCTTCCTGGGTATTGAGTACTTTAAGGCTGCTGTGCCAGGCTGGTTGGCAGGACACACCTCTCCTACCAGCCACGGCAGGGGGGGGGCAGAGCTGCCACAGCCTGGCAGCTAGTGGTTCGCAGACCAGTAGTTGGGAACCACTGCTTTGACCAATGGTCTAAAAGTTATAAAGAGGCTGGGCTCCTCCCCCCACCACGTTGAATGGAACCCAAACCAAACAGGGATGTGAACGCCCTTACCAGGTGATACTGGTAAATGGTTAACTAGCAGCCCCGCAATGGGGGGCAGAGGGAGGGGGAGAGATCCTATTTAATAACTTAACTGGCAGCCTTGTCCATAGGTTTACTGGTTAAACATGGCGGTTAACTGATTAAATAGGATTTTACATTCCCAAATCCAATAGGCAGCCTCTGAACACATCTATTAGATTGGCTCCCCAGATGAGCATTGCCTGTCCTTGTCTTCCCTGGTTTGTGATTCGCTCTGGGGTTTAGGTGGGATAGTGGCATCCAGACACCTAGAGGAAGGCAACATGCTCATAGACAGATACTCGATGCCTAATAAATTGTACTCTAAAATGTAGGTGCGAAGTCAGTGTAGATGCCTAAAGGGCTACGTCTACACTGGCCCCTTCTTCGGAAGGGGCATGCTAATTTTGAACTTGGGAATAGGGAAATCCGCGGGGGATTTAGATAAACATGGCCACCGCTTTTTTCCTGGCTTGGGGAAAAGCCGGAAAAAAGCGTCTAGACTGGCGCGATCCTCCGGAATAAAGCCCTTTTCCGGAGGATCTCATATTCCTACTGGGATCGGCCTGGAGGAGCAGCACAATGCGCAGCCGCCCTGACCCACTGTGGGGATTGTTAGGTAGCTGCGCAGCTTAGAGTGAAGTTAGTCTACTACTATTGTATATTTTCATTAGTGACTCCTTGGATGATAGAGGGATGCATCACTCTACATATTAAAAAAAGATTTTCCTGCAGGACAGTGATGTCATCACATCACTCTGCATCCCACTTGCCTCCTCCCTCTCTCACCCTCCCACCTTGAGCCCAACCTCACTGCTTCCCCGTGTCACTTGGAATTGTTATTTTAAACCAAGCTCCTACTCCCCTTCCTCCAACCCCACCCCACAGGGCTTTCAACAACAAGGAACATGGCACAGTAGCTGGTAGACTGCACATCACAGCTGTGGCAGCCTGAGGGCAGGAGAGGAAGTTTCAGTGCTCGGGACAGCAGCCTGGGGACAGGGGCTAGGACCAGAGCTCCCAAGCAGGCTTATGTGCCAGCAGCAGGCTGTTCAGGAGCCGGACCATGGTGCACAACCACCCAGAGTCTGATTAGCTCTGCAGAAGCTTACCCCCTCCCTAGTGGCTGCACTTACTGCAGCTGCCAGAGCACCCTGAGCTGCCTGGGAAACCGGTGCACTGACCTGCCTGCTCCTTCCCTTCTGCTCCTGTGGGTGGACAGGCAGCCCTGGGATCTGCAGGCAGTGTTGAGGTAGTGAGCAACTCAGGGGGGACCGCACCTGGGAGAGGGTGGGACAGTGCCCCCTGCACTGCTGCTTTCCCCACCTCAGCAGGCTGCAGTGTCCCAGAGCACTGTGCGCACATGGCACTATCTGTACCTCGCTGCGCCCCATGTGGGACAGGCACCTCCTGAGCCTCCCCGGCCGCAAAGGTTAGAGCTGGGCCTGGCGTGTCCTGCAGCCAGAGGGAAGAGAGAAAAGGCCTGGGCTGGTGGGGCCACAACTTAGCCCTCCCCAGTGGCCGGGTGGGGGAGTGGGAGGGGAGGGAAGAGAGCCAGGGTTGTGAGTTCAGCATTTGTAGTGATAGCAGGTTGGGAGGGGCTGCAACCATTTTGAAGGACAGGATTAGAATTCAAAGTGACCATGAAGAACTGAAGAGCAGGTCTGAATTAAAAAAAGGTGAAAGTCAAGACAGACAAATATTGAGTACTTCACTTAGGAACAGATAAGAAAATGCACAACTATAAAATGGGGGAAAACTGCTCTTCAATATTGTTGAAAAGGAGAAGAGCATTATTGTGGATCAAAAATTAAATACGAGTCAACAATGCAATGCAGCTGCAAAATGAGACTAATATTCTGGAGTGTATTATCAGGAGTGTGTTATGTAAGCCAGGAGAGGTAGTTAACTGGTTTGCTTTAGTTGGTATTGGTGAGGCCTCAGCTGGACTACTTTGTCAAATTCTGGGCACCACACTGGTAAGGTAAGATAAGGACAAACTGGGGAGTCCAGAGGAGAGCAACAGAAATTATGAAACATTTAGAAAACATGATCTATAAGGTTAAGTGACATAAACCAGGCATAGTCTTAGAAAATATTATCAGGTTCCTCCTCAAGCTTCAAATACCTTAAGGTCTGTTACAAAGAGGACTGGACAAGTTCTCCAAGCCTACTGATGGGAGGAATGAAGAAATGAGTTTCATTTGCAGCAAGGGAGATTTAGGGTAGACACTCTAAACAATTTTCTAACTATAAGGGCAGTTAAGCTCTGGTATAGGCTTCTAATGGATGTGGTGGAATCCCCATTACTGGAAGTTTTCAAGAACAGATTAGGCAAACCCCTGTCAGGGTGATCTACATTTCTTGGTTCTATCTCAGCTTAGAGAGCTGGACTTAATGACCACTCATGGTCCCTTCTAGCCCTACATTTCCATGATTCTATAACGTGCCCAGAATATGTATTATACACATCTTGCTTCTTCAGATTTTCTTCAAGTCACAAGGCTGTCTCCAACAGATGCATTTATAACATGTCCCTCGAGCACTGATTGTCTTAGCTATACGGGGAGTGGCTTGCCTGCAACAGAAACATCCATACAGTTTCAGGAACACACACAAATCATGTCTAGAGAGGCAACATGTGAGAGATACTTTTATTGAACTATCTTCTAATGATGGCAAGCTTGAGAGACACATAGAGAGCTCTTTATAACCTTATGTATGTTTCTGAGCCATGTCATCAGCCATGTACCTTACATGTGTGCTGAGATGTATCAATATTTTAAATGAGCCTGCCAGACTGTGACTGCACATCTCTGAAGCTGAAATCCAAGAGGAATCTTTACTGTTAAAGCACCAAAAACACGGTTCAAACGATTAGCTATAATAGGAGAAGAATGCCACCTCTTCATATGCCTTGTATAGCTAGGCCAACATCCTGTGTGTGCACAGCAGAATCTCCCACCATGAGGCTACTGGACTTCCTTCTCCTGCTTATAGAAGGTGTCTAGACCAGTTCCGGAAATAAAGGCGGAGCAGATCACCCTGACACTTCAACCATCGGCTGAAATGGTGTCTGGCCAAGGAGCAAAATGCAGGACAATGTAGCACTTTAAAGACTAACAAGATGGTTTATTAGATGATGAGCTTTCGTGGGCCAGGCCCACTTCCTCAGATCAAATAGTGGAAGAAAAGGAAGTGGGTCTGGCCCACGAAAGCTCATCATCTAATAAACCATCTTGTTAGTCTTTAAAGTGCTACATTGTCCTGCATTTTGCTTCAGCTACCCCAGACTACCACGGCTACATTTCTATCACTGGCCAAGGAGGATGCCTGTGGTGGCCCTTGCAAAGGCTGCGCTGCCTCCGCGCCCCGCTCCTCTTCGGATTTAAACACTCGCCTACCAAGCGGGAGACGCACCGCACGGAATCCCAGCGCTCAGCGTAGGGAGGGGACCGGCCAAACGAGTAAGAGCGGCGGGGGGAGGATCCCCCATTCCCCGCTGCCGGCCAGGCCGAGCTTCGGGGCGCGGCTCCTT